ATCGCGAGCGCCTCCTTGTCATGTATGGGGTAGTTCAATTCCGCTCCCCTAAGCTTACACGACTCGTACGCGATCGGCTGCAACCCGCGTCCCTGGTCCTGAAGAAGCACTGCTCCTATGACCCGATCTGATGCGTCGGTCACTACAACGTATGGGCGAGTGGGATCTGGGTACGACAGTGTCAGTGAAGATGTGAGCGACTGCTTCATCTGCTCGAACGCCTGCTGCTCCGCTGGACCCCAATCGAAATCTACGCCCTTCCGAAGTAGGTCGGTGAGTGAACTAGCGATCGATGCGTAACCCTGAACGAAACGACGATAGTAATTGGCGAATCCGAGAAAGCTCTGCAACTCCTTGACTGAGGTCGGTGCTACCCAATCCTGTACTGGTGCGATCTTCTTCGGGTCGGTCCTAATGCCACTAGCGGATACGACGTGTCCTAGGAACTCGACATCAGGGAGAAAGAATTCGCACTTCGACTACTTAGCGTACAGCTGCTCCCTCCGTAAAACCTCGAAGACCTTCTGCAACTGCTGCACGTGCTCCTCTTTCGTCTTGGAGAATATGAGAATGTCGTCTAGGTAAACTACAACGAACGAACCTACGAACTCGGAGAGGACGGTGTTCATGAGCGTTTGAAACGTCGCTGGGGCGTTGGTCAATCCGAACGGTAGAACCCTAAACTCGTACAACCCCTGATTCGTACGAAACGCCGTCTTGTGCTGGTCCTCTGGAACTACGCGAATCTGGTGGTAACCCGAACGAAGGTCGATCTTGGAGAAAACTCTAGCGCCCTGCACTGCATCTAGGAGATCCTCTACTCTCGGCACCGGAAACCTATTCTTGACGGTGGCGGCGTTCAGTGCGCGGTAATCTATGCACATCCGTAACCCTCCGTCTTTTTTAGGCGCGAAAAGGATCGGTGCTGCCCAAGGCGATCTAGATGGCCGTATGAAACCCTGCGCGAGAAAATGCCTAACCTGCTGCGTCATCTCCTCTGTCTCCGCTGGACTCAACCCCCACTGCGGCTTTGCTACTGGCCTGCTCCCCGGCTCCAACTCTATTCGATGATCTACTGCTCGGCTGGGAGGTAACCCTGGGGGCAACTCGTCGGGGAAGACGTCTGCGAACTCTGCTAACAGTGCACTCACCTCAGCAGGAAGAGTCGCCTTCTCACCAACTGCTGCACTCCCTCCTTTCCCCTCCTCAGCTTCAACCTCCTCAAGGAAAACCGCAAAGATCCGTGCCGCTCGCTTCACCAGCTCTCGCACACGAACAGCATTGATAATGGCTGTGGAGGATGTGGCCCCATCGCTCCACTGTAGCAGCTCCCGGAACTCCCCGTCTACCTTGACGCTGCAGCTTCCCTGAGCCCAATCGAACTGAGTACTAACCGTCCGTAGCCAATTCCTACCGAAGATGAAGTCATAACCGTCCAGTGTCACAGAGTTGAAGTCACGCCGAATCGTGATTGGTCCTAGCACTACGCGCAACTTGCGGATGACTGGTCCTATGTGGAGAGGCGTCCCATCTACCATGCGTGCATCCTTGAAGTTGACTGCCGGATCTGCTTCGAGATGGAGATTACTAACTAACGATGAAGACACGAACGAGTGGCTAGCTCCGCTATCTACGAGAATCTTAACAGGAACTCCGCGAAGCTTCCCTAGAAGCACGACTGGTCGGTCAACAGTGTCTACCTCGTTCTCCGTAGATAACTGCTGCAAAGCCGTCTCCTCTACGCTGGTAGACGTGGCGGGTACGGGAACCTCCACACCAGCTAGCGACCCGCTATCTACTGGCGGTCTCCGTTTCCCTGCTGCCGTTCCTTAAGATGTGGGAAGTCCCGCTTCATGTGTCCCGGCTTTTTGCAGTAGTGACAGTTCCCCCTAAAACCCGTCTTCTGTGAGCCGTCACTGTTAACTGCACCAATCTCCATGGGCGACGGTCCATCCCTCGATCGAGCGTCGTTGATCGGTCTGTTGTATCCTCTATCGCGATCGTCACGACCCCGTCGGCTTCATACCGCGTCGACGCGTTCTGCTGCTGCGACTACTGACTCGAAGGTGGACAACCCGTGAATCGTTATAAACTCCGCTATGTCCGGCTTCAACCCTTCGAGGTAGCGATCGCGCATCTCTGCTTCCGTGATGTCATCTATTTCGTTGCAGATGCTCAAGAACCGTCGTGTGTACTTCTGGACGTTTCCTATCTGTCGGAAATGACGCAGACGCTTCCTAGCAGCTTCGGAGGCGTTCACCAAATCGAACCTACTTTTCAGCGTCGCTTCAAATCCTTCCCATGTGGTCGGAACCGTGGTAATACCCAAAGCTAAACTCCCTAAGCTCAAAGTTACAGCTGCATGCCCCACGCCCTGTTTGTTAAAGTCCGCCGCGCGCCTCGGGGCGCACGGCGGGAAGAAAAAACTGCCGCACGCCACGGGGCGTGCGGCACAGAGAGTAGCAGTAGCAGTTGCAGCGGAAGCAACAAGGTGGTGAGCCCACCCACAGGCCCACCCAAGTTGCAGCGGGATCGACCTGCTCTGATAGCATGTTAAAGTTTAGAAGAAAGAAGAGGATTGCACTAGCAAGAATGGGGATACAAATAGCAAAACCCTAGAAGAGTTGTACTCGCTATAGAGCACCCCACTACAGGCTAGAGCATAATATTCTGACACTGTTGATGCCCGTCTGTCTGAGCCCTTCCTACAGCAGTTTGCGTGAGTTGGCGCCACCACTCCAAGGCCGGGCCCCTTAGCAGCGTAACGGAGTACTCGATCCGCTGCTGCGCGTCCGCCTCTTGCACCCCGCTCGCGGCGAAGTAGTTGTTCAGCATGAAGAGCCACGTCCGCACGTTCGCGTCGCGTTGACTTGGGTCGAACGACTCGGGTTTCTGCGGCTTGAGCGCGCTTCGACGTTCCGGCAGCGCTTCCGCGTCAGTCGACGTGTTGGGTGCAAGAGTTGGTGCGGCATGACCATGAGGGTTAGAAGCCAATTCACGAAGCTGTTGCATTTCAGCTCGTACCTGACGATTTTCCAATGTCAACTCTTGAAATTGGCGCATGAGTTCGGCAAGCGTGTTGCCCATGTCGTGGGGGAGAGCGTGCATGGTTTCGTCCATGTTCGCTCGACGACTCCAAGTCTGCAAGTCGGCACCGCGGGACGATGACGTCGTAGTCTCGTCGTCGACGGCCGCTCGTTGGAAGTCGCTCCCCGCGAAGGCTCTTGATACCAAGTGTTAGGCCCGACGGCCTAAGTCCGCTAAAGAATTAGCGGGGCTGACTAAATTGAGGATAAAGCGCGGCGGAAGACTTTGGCGAAAGATGTGTTGGCGAAATAGGCGAAGAAATAACTGAGTATTTGATGAATGAGAATTGATTGATATTGGTGGATACAAGCAAGGATGATATAGCATGCAAGGTCGAATGTCGGAAAGTACTTCGTGGGACTAGAAAGTAGAAGCAAGAAAAGTAGAGTGCCACGTGGCACTAGGAAATCCAAGAAGATAAGGATAAGGATGGGGTTGGGAGTTATTGTGCAAAGTGAACAGTAAAACCCCCTGTAACATAACAGGTGTTGATATCGTCGCACATGTACTTCGCTCAGCACAGCACCAAAAGAACCGAGTCTACTTCTTGCACCCCCCCACACGCAACGCAATGGTATTCAACGGTTGCTGTGGAATTGCACAGTGAGTCATAAGGCGCAGCTCGTCAATTGGTTTTCACTGTCGACTGCCTTCCGTTGTCCCAGGCTCCCGCACCAGTGAACACTTGCCCTTTATTTCTCTCTGCTGCGCATGGCCCCGCTGGATATCGTCGAAACACCCACTGAGTATGTTTTCCGTGTCGACGTACCTGGGTTTCAAGGGAAGGATTTGAGAGTGAGAGTTGATCCTGAAACGCTTGTTATTTCATTCAAGGGAGAGCGTCGTCAGGAGAAGTCGGCTAACGAGCGGCTTATTTGGAGAGAAAGAGTGCACGGGAGCTTTACCCGGGAGTTTCAGCTTCCGTCTGATGCAGACGTAGAACGTGTGACGGCTGCCTGTGTGGACGGCATCTTGACTGTTTTCGTCAAGAAACTTCCACCACAGCCTGAGCACAAGCGAGACAAAGTTATTGATGTCAAAGTGAAATCTCGACTGTGAATTGCATACTTGCTGGGTGGAGTGAGCGGTATCAAGGTGATGCTGACATGCTTCAGTGACAGATATCTGAGTTTCGTTGGAACAAATTTGTGAGCCATAAAAAAAGAAATACTTCACATAGACGCAAAGATTTGTTCCAAACATTATATATGTTGTCAAGGATAAGTCATAATAAATACTCCACATAAGTACACTGTCATTGAGGTACAATGGTCCCGTCCTTTCTTCGTTACAAGGCTAACCCCTTCCTTCGTATTTCCCGAGATTGGTAACAAGCCCAACACCTTTGATTGATGGCAGGCGTTCGCCCCTTGATCTTGTCGCAAGCGCGCTCGGCTGATAGATCAGTGAAAGGGCAGGAAACACATCACTCTTGACTGGCGACAAAGGTCCCAGGCTCCCAGCTGAGCAAAGCTTCGCGCGAATGAAGTTCTTTCTTGTTCGTGAAGGTACGGGCGACTGCGTCGCACATGTCGTACTCCTCAAGGTTCAACAGGTAAACAGTGGATGGAACCACCTATTTAGGGTTTCCTTACTTTCACTCTGTGACCTAGCAGCACAACACGACTGCCGATTTTAGGGTTCAGTAGAGGTTAGTTCACAGTACTATGCGCATGCGACGCCTATCTTGTGTGTTGTATTTTGTTCCTTCCATCCCTTGTATGTATATTCCGCTCCCGTATTGATCGCCTAGAACATGATTTAACTGATTGTAGACTCGTCGTTTCGAGATCTTTCGTCGCCCTACTGCTGATAAGTTATCACTGCCTGCGTTCCGCGTGTGGTTCGTCCGGCAAGAGGAGGTCCGAGGTAGTACCTGATGGAAGTCATCCCCGTTATAGGGACGTGCAACAATGCCACACGGGAGAAGCACATGTCTAGGTGCGGCTTGCCATAGTAAAACGATTGGACTGTTCTCTAAAAGCTATCACTAGGCCCCAGCCGTCTCCCCTGATTTCCTGATTTTACTTGTTTTTCCAATTATGGCTAACGAGCCTCTCGCTCGTCTCCACATCACCCGTTCCGTTTGCAGGCGCATCGCAGAGGAAGGCTGATTCGTTATGGTTTTATTCGAACAACCCTCTCTTGCATGGTTGATACGTAACGGTTAAAACTTTCTATGGAAAGGTTTCGTGGTCTTCGCATTGACACGGCTCCAACTCCCGAGCAGCCACAGCCACAGCCGCAGCAACAGCATAGCTTTGTCAGACCAGTTTATGCGACCTCAGGTTACACTGGTGCATCGGGTTACCCTATTCCGTCTGCAGGAAACTCCTCGTCTGGTTACCCCAGTACGTCCGTTTCTCAGGGAACCAGTTATGGTGCTCCGAATAACGGTGGTTACACGGCCGGTTACCGTGGCCCGTACGGCACGTCGGCTGTCCCGGGCACAGCCGGTTACATCTCCCCGTACGGTTACAACTCCGGTTCATCTGCCTCCAACGCGTCTTACGGACCCCCGTACCGTGGACCACCCCCAGGGGCGGCGCCCGCCTATATTTCCGCCGCTCCCGCAGCTGCACCGCCTTCCGCTTTTGTTTCCGCCACTGGCGCAACCCGGGGGGTGGGAGGCGGAGCAGCCGTCCCCGCGAGCGCAGCAGGCGGATTTGTGGGCGCAGGAAGAAGCGGAACCAACCCCGCATGGGCGGGCACGTCCGCCGCCTCTGCCGCCGCCGCCGCTATTCTGGCGGAAGCGGATAGAGACGAGGACCCGGGGGGGAGACGGAGCTACAGCCACAGCTACAACCAAGGCTACGGCCACGCTAGCGCGCAGAGCGCCAGTCAGGCGCACGCGCCGGGGGGAAACAGTCACGCGGCTTCCCGCGTGTCGTCTGCGCGCTCCTCTATAAGCAGCTCCAGTAACCGCAGCTCGCCGCGGTCCGACGCGACGGATAGAAGCGCGCGCAGGGCGCGGCGGAAAGCGTTTACCGCCAGCGGAGCCGGCGCGGGGAACTCCGCCGTTTCCGCGTCCCTGTCCGCGGGCGCGGCGGACAGCGGGGGGAGCTCGGAGGGGAAGCGGCGGGAGCGGTCCGCCCGCGCGCGGTTACCGCGGAATGGGTCTGTGGGGAGCCTGGTTGGGGAGTCGTCTGGGGGGAATGGGTCCGGGGCGGTGGCGGGGGGGAGGGGGTCCGCGGAAGAGGACGGGGGAGCGCAGTCGCGGGAGCGGGGGCAGCTGGCGCATGGGCAGGCGCGCCCAGTACAGCCGCACTCGCTACAGTCACACCCGCTACAACCGCACTTGCTACAGCAGGAGCATCAGCATCTGCATCACCAGCAGGCGCAGGCACAACAGCAGTACCATCACTACCAACAGCAGCAGCAGCAGCAGCAGCAGCAGAATTATGGGAGCGGGGATACCAGGCACGGCGGAAGCGGGGAGGCGCTGGGCGGGGGGAGAGGGGAGGCGGACGGCGGAGCGGGCGGAGGGGGCGGGGCGGGAGTGGTGGACTGGCGCGGGTGGAAGGTGACGCGGAGGTTGGAGTTTGAGGGGGCGGACTGCGCGCTGATAAAGGCGTTCCTGGGGGACAGGGACGCGTGGGCGTGTCTCGAGGAGAGTGCAGCGAATCGAATCTACATCTTTGAATATCTCAACACTGTCCGGACCTCCCACCCGGCTCTACTGCAGGTAAGTCTGATGTAGCAGCCGGTTAGCAGTCACAGTAGTCGGCTAGCAGTCATAGCAGTCGGTTTGCAGTCTGTGGCGCAGGTGCAACGCGGAGGTTGGAGTTTGAGGGGGCGGACTGCGCGCTGATAAAGGCGTTTCTGGGGGACAGGGACGCGTGGGCGTGTCTAGAGGAGAGTGCCGCGAATCGAATCTACATCTTTGAGTATCTCAACACTGTTCGGACCTCGCACCCGGCTCTGCTACAGGTATGTGTGAGACGTTAGCGGTTAGCAGTCATAGCAGTCGGTTAACAGGCGGTAGCGATTCGAAAGCGGTCTGCACGTTCGTAAGGGCGTTCGTAGGCTCCAAGTTTTAGGGTACCGATTAGAACACCTCTTAGAATACCTTCAACACTGTTCAGACTTTCCACCCAGCTCAGAAAGAGGAGCTTTTGGAAGAAAGAGGTGCAGCGACGGGAGGTGATATTCATTGCTCGTCTTCTCATCCCCCTTCCCCCTTTTTTCTCTTACTGCAGACCTACCAGACGGTCCTGCTGTCCCACGGGCTGACCACGGAAAGCCTCAAGGCGCAGAGGCGGGAGGTGCTGCAGCTGTTCGCAGTGCTGCTCACGGCACAGGACGGGCTGTGGAAGCTCAAGAAGGGGCAGCTTTTAGACCTTATCTGCCACTCAGACGCCTGGAAGAAGGCACAACAAGCACAAGCAGCACAGCAGGCACAACAGGCTCAACAAACACACCAGGTTCAAATACGGGCAGTTGCGGGTGGGGATGAGCGGAGTGCGGTGGGAGAAAGGGTGGTTGAGGCGACGGGCGGTGCTGCTAGGGATGTGATGGCTGGTGGGATAGCGGCCAGGGGTGTGGCAGCAGATGCAACCGTGCGAGCGGGATCAGGAGCAGGAGTGGGAGTGGGAGCGGGAGCGGGAGCGGGAGCGGGAGCGGGAGCGGGAGGGACGACAGGTCTTGCAGGAAGAGTGGTTGCCTCGGCGCCATCGCGGCCAGGTTCAGCCTCCTCCCGGCCTGGTTCGGCGTCATCAAGGCCAGGTTCGGCGTCGTCGCGGCCAGGTTCGGCGTCTTCAGGACCAGGCTCGGGATTGTCCAGGGGTGGATCAGGCTCGTCCAGACCAGGTTCGGCACAAGGGAGAGACAAAGAAGCCTCGGTTGTAGCTGCAACTGCTACAGCCTCAGCTGCAACAGTATCAGCTGCTACAGCCGCAAGCACCACTGTTATAAATGGCGCTGTGACCAGGGCTGGTGCTGGTGGTGGTGGTGATGGTGCTGCTGCTGCCGCTGCTTCTGCTGCTACTGCCCCTGCTCCCACTGCGTCTGCATCACCGTCAGTGCCCATGTTTCGCCCGGCTCCCCCGTCTAGCAGCCCGCCAGCCCTCTCCCCTAGGCCCTGGCGCGGTAAAGCTGCTGCAACGCACTCGCCCTCTGCTGCAGCTGCTGCTGCTGCTGCTGCTGCAACGCCTGCGAGCACTGCTGCAGTGGAAGCGAATCCAGCAGCTGCAGAAGCAGCGGTTACAGCAGCGACAGTCTCTGCTGCTTCTTCTGCTTCTGCTGCTTCTTCTGCTTCTTCTGCGTCTGCTGGTGCTTCTGCCAGTGAGCACGAGGGAGGAGAGGGCATTTTCTCCTCCTCCTCCTCGTCCATTCTCCCTTCCACTTTCTCCCTGTTCTTCAAACCTAAGATCCCTGCAGCTCCCACTTCCAGGCCTCCCTCCTCGTCCACACACACCCAAACCTCCACTCCAGGTTCGGTAATCAGCTCGGTCTCTTTCGCTAGCTTCGGCTCCGGCTTCACTAATCATAACCCTAACACTAACTCTCGAACCGAAGCTGCTTCCGAAGCTAAATCCGAGCCTCCTTTACGAACCATGTCCGGAAGTGTAGCAGGCTTACAGCCTGTATTCAATCGCTCTTTAACGGAGCGTGTACCTGCCAGTAGGAGCGCAGAAGGAGGAGCGGGCCAATCAGTACCGGGAGGAACTCTATATGGGGGACAAAGAGGGACGCTCATTGCCCCTGTGGGTGTAGCACAGGGGTCTGGGTACGGAGGGTATGGAGGGCAGGGAGGGCAGGGAGGGCAGCAGGGAGGGCAGCAGCAGGGGGGCCAGGGAGGGTACGGAGAGAGTGCATATGGGGGGGGAATGCAGAGTCTGGCTCAGAGATTCGGTGCTGCTTTTGCTCGCTCGTTCTCTGCAGGAAAGGAGCTGGCCTCGGGTGCTGGTGGTGGTGGTGGTGGCGGTGCTGCTGGCGGTGATGATGCTTCTGTTGCTTCTTCTGCTGCCAGTGGTGGGGGTGGGCTAGTTAGTGCGTTAGCAGCTAGAAAGCAGCCGCCACAGCAGCAGTATCAGCACTCTCAGCAGCAGTACTCCCAGCAGCAACAGCAGCAGCAGCAGCAGAGTTATGGCCGCAGGCTAGACCTAGGCCCGTTGTCCCCATTAGAAGAGCAGAGGGATGAGCTCAAACTGGAACCAAACGGTTTCATCCGCTCTCAGACCCTATGGGTGGGCAGGGGAGCAAGGGGCGGTATTCCCCCCGCTAAAGCGCCAGTTGCTTCTAACGCAGCTGCTTATAGAGAGAACGCAGCCTTAACTGCTTCTGCCAATCCCTCTGCCAATGCCACTGCCGCTGCTGCTCCGGAATTTGTTCGGTCTAGCACCCTATGGGCTGGTAAGGCTGCTCCTCCTACTGTGGCGGCTGGAGCAGCAGAGAGAGGGTTGCTGATGGGTCGAATGCCCGGGCTAGGAGAAAGAACGATGAGCTTAGGGGGACGGACTCTGAGTTTGGGAGGTAGGAATCAGAGCCTGGGGGGTGTTGTGAGGGGGGCGTCTCTGGTGAAGGTTGTACCTGTGAGGATGGAGGAAGAGGATGAGGATGAGGAGGAGGAGGATTTGTATGGAGAGGGGTATGGGGAGGAGGAAGAGGAGGAGGATTTGTACGGGGAGGAGAGTGGGGGTGTGGTGGGAGGGGGAGTGAGGGAGGAGGAAGAGGAGGGGAGTGTGGAGGGGAGGGAGGCGAATGGGGTGAGTGAAGGGGAGGAGGGGGAGAGTGGGGAGGAGAGTGAGGGAGATGGAGAGAGCAGGGGTGGTGGGGGGAAAGAGGAGGAGGACGAGGGGGGAGGAATGGGGGTGCTTAGACTGCCGAGTATACGGGTGGGGGATATGCGGAGAGTAATGCAGGAGAAAAGGGAACAGCAGGAGTGGGAGGTGCAGCAACAACAGGAGCGGCAACAGCAGCAGCAACAGCAGCAGCAACAGCAGCAGCAGCAGCAGCAGCAGGAAGGGGAAGGGGAAGGAGAAGGAATCTTGAGGTTGCCAAGTATACGTGTGGGGGATATGAGACGAGTCATGCTGGAGAAACGGAAACAGCAGGAGAGGGAGTTACAGCTGCAAAGAGAGAGAGAGGCATTGTTGCAGGAGCAGCAGAGGCGGCAGCATGAGGAAGAGGCATGGCGGAGGGAGCAGCTGAAGAAGCAGCAGGAGGAGGAGGAGTGGTGGCAGCAGCGGCAGCAGCAGCAGCAGCAGCAGCAGCAGAAGGAGGAGGAGCAGCAGAAGCAGCAGCAGCGGCAGCAGGAAGGCAGGGGAAACCACCGAATTCAGGGCGATTCAGTGAAATCCGACGTGTATAGATCGAATAGCAATGGTAGTAGTGCTGTGGACGCCCCTTCGGTGATCCGACACAGTTCTGGAGAGTCTTCTAACGGGGATGCGGGCAGTTGTAGTGTTATAAACGCGCCTTCTGTGATCAGACACAGTTCTGGGGATTCTTATAACGAGGATGGTGCGAGTGAAGGCGGGGGTAGTCACAGCAGCAGCAGAAGCAGAAGCAGAAGCAGGGGTGGCACTCCAACTAGTGAAAAAGATAGGGAGAGTGATAGGAGCAGCAGGAATAGCAGCAAGAAGGGTAGCAAGAAGGGCAGCAGCAGGGGCAGCAGGGGCAGCAGCAAGAGCAGTAGAGAGAGCAGTAGGGAGAGCAGAGGGAGCAGAGGGAGCAGCAGACGGAGCAGCAGCAGAAGCAGGTCAGGCAGTGCGGAGAGCAGCAGGAGCAAGGGCAGTGATACTGATGATGGTGCCAGTAACCATAGCAGTAACCATAGTGGTAACCCGAGTAGTGGTAACCATAGCAGTAACCATAGTGATGGCAGCAGCAGCGGCAGTGGCAGTGACAGTGGCAGTGGCAGTGGCAGTGGCAGTAGGGGTAGTGGTAGCGGCAGTGGTAGGGGCAGTGGCAGTCATACCGGTACTGGTGATGACAGGAGCAGCTGCAGCGATGGTGGTAATAGCAGCAGTGGTATCGAAAGTGTGGGCAGAAGGAGCAAGAGGAGCAGCACTGCCAGCAGAGGGAGCAGTGGCAAGAGCGGAAATAGTAGCAGGAGCAGCAGCAGCGGGAGGAGCAACAGCAGCAAGAGGAGGAGGAGGAGGAGGAAGGGAAAGGGCAGAAGCAGCAGCCAAGAAAGCTTGCATTCTGTCAGGGATTCCCACAGTAGAAGCAGCAGCAGGCGCAGCAGCAGGGGCAGCGGTGGTGCTGCTGATAGCAGTGCTGCTGATGCACCTGCAGAGGGGGTTCCCGCAGTGGTTCAGGAGGAGGATGGTGTGTCTACTTCTGTTGGGGACGATGGGACTTCAGTTGACGCCGCACCTGCTGCTGCTGCTAACACTCCTGCTGCCACAGCTGGCACTGGTGCCACTGCTGCCACTGCTGTTGCTGCTGCCACTGTCTCTGCTACTGCTGTGCCCTCTTCTCCCACTGCTGATTCTGCTGATGGTGTTTCTGGTGATGATGCTGTTGCTACGGCTAGTGTTAGTGCAGCTGTTTCTGCCACTAATGCCAGTGAATCTGTTTCAGCAATCGATGTTGGTGGTGCTCCTGCTACTGCTGGTGCCAGTGGTTCTGTTGCGGCAATAGATGTTGCCGATGGGCCTGCTGCTACAGATGCTGCTACTGCTGCTGCCTCTGCTACAGATGCTGCTGCTACTACAGATGAAACTCCTGCTGCTACAGATGTCACCATTGCTGCAACAGATCCCACCGCTGCTGCCACAGATCCCATCGCTGCTGCCACAGATCCCACCGCTGCTGCTACAGATGGCACCGCTGTTACAGATGGCATTGCTTCTGCTACAGAAGTCACAACTTTTGCTACAGATGCCACAGCTGCTGCTACAAATGACACCTCTGTCACTGGTGGTTCTGCTCCTGTCACGCTCGCCCCTGCTACAACCGCCCCTGCTACAACCGCCCCTGCTAACACTTCCAGTGCTACGGCCGCTCTTCTCCCTGCTGTCCCTGCTACGTCCGCCCCTGCTGCTTTCCCCCCTGCTACATCCGCCCCTGCTGCTGTCCCCCCTGCTACATCCGCCCCTCCTGCTGTCCCCCCTGCTACATCCGCCCCTCCTGCTGTCCCCCCTGCTACATCCGCCCCTCCTGCTGTCCCCCCTGCTGATACATTCGCTCCCACTTCTCCTGCCCTAATCCCTCCTGCTGCTGCTACAGCCGCCCCTGCCCTCATCCCTGCTCCTGCCGCTACAGCCGCTTTCACCGCCTCGCTGGCAAGCGGCGCTGCTGCCACGTCTGTAGCGGCAGCCAAGGCTGCTCAAGCACTAGCAGCCTACAAACGCTCCTCCACCCCCCCTAGGAGCCCTGTAGATCACGATACGTGGGATTCGGGGGAGGAGGAGGAGGGGGAGGGGAGCGGGGGATGGGGGGGAGCGATTGGGAGGAAAGGCAAGGCTGCGAGCTATGGGGGAGTGACTTATTCGGAGCGAGGGGGAGGGTCAGGGGAAGGTGGGAGAGTGATTGGGGGAACGTTAGGTGGGGTGGTTGGGGAGATGGCAGGAGGGGGACTAGGAGAGTCGGTGATAAATGCAGGAGGGGAAGGGAGAGGAGTGAGGGGAGGAGAAGGAGCAGAAGGAGCAGGAGGAGACATGAATGTTCCAGGGGATAGTGTGGCTGGTGGCAGTGCGGTTGGTGGCGGTGTGATGGATAGCAGTGCGGTTGGTGCCGGTGCGGCTGGTGGCAGTGTGTGGCAGGGTAGGGAGTGGTTGGGAGGGGTGGAGGTGTTTGGGAGTGCCATTGACAACATGTGGAGCCCGCTTCCTGTGTTCATGGGGGGCAATGCAGGCGCACAGTCACAGTTCAAATCCCCCCGTACAGTCACACAGGGACAGTCACGGTCACAGTTTAAAGCTCCACATACAAGCACACAGTCACAGTCACAGTTTAAAGCCCCACAGTCAGCCACTCAGTTACAGTCACAATCACAGTTGATATCAAATCAAGCGATTCCTGGAACAAGCAGTCAGCAGCACAAGCCCCCACACAGAACAACTAGCCGCTTTGACACCTCTGGAACCGCACCCAACCCCTCTGAAACCACGCTGAACCCCTCTGGACCCACCTCTCTTACCACCCCTGCTAATGTAATGACTCCCACTGATATAATCACACCCACATTTCCCACCCCTAACAGCCTAACACCATCAACATCATCAGTCGCAGCAGCAATAGCCGCATTCTCAAACCCATCTGCCCTTGCTATTTATCCGGTCACCCCTTCAACTAGTGTAATTAGCGGAATTACCCCATCCAGTGGTGTGCCGAATAGGGTTACCATACCGGTTACCCCGTCGAGTGTTGTTTCTGGTTACACCCCCGTCGCTCCTCTCCGCACCCCTCCTTCCTTCCTCGCTCGCCAAAACTCCGCCCCTCCTGCTACACCCATGGGAAAGCCTGGGGGTTTTGCCACTGCTTGGGGTACTGATGCTGGTGCTGCCGGTGCTGCCGGTGCTGCTGGTGCTGCTGGTGCTGCTGCAGCTACTGCTGGCAACACGAACGCTGCTGCTGCCGTTGCTACAGCTGCCACAGCCGCTACAGCCGGCGCTACAGCCGGCGATACAGCCCGCTCTGCTCGCTCGTTTTTTGCCACGGAGCTGCGGTGCTCCCTGTGCGGCCACGTGGACCTCTGCCAGCTGGACGCCAGCCTGGCGCGTGACGTGGCGGAGCTGCACGCGTTCCTGTGCCCTGGCGGTGACGTCAGCAGCAGCAGCGGCGGCGGCAGCGGCAGCAGTGGCAGCAGCAGCAACAATAGTGGCAATAGCAGCAGCAGGAGCAAAACGAGTGAGTGCATGCAGCAGTGGTCTTCTCTTCTCCCCCGCACGGCACTCCATACTCGCTTCCTGGCCGTTCCCACTGCTCTCAGACGAAGGCAGAAGCAGATGGAGGAAAGGCAGGGGCAGAAAAGGCAGGTGCAGCAGCAGGGGAGAGAGAAGCTAAGGGAGACGCAGCAGGTGGGGCAGAAGAATGGGAAGCAGGAGGGGTGCTTGGTTTTGCAGGCGCTGCAGCGAGGGGTGTGGAGGAATAGAGGACTCACTCAGGATGTGCTACAGCAGCTGGGAGTGGGCATGCTGCAGGTATGTGCGTGGATGGGTGGGTAGGTGTGGATGGATTGGTGTGTGCGTGGATGGGTGGGGTGTGGTGGAGGAATAGGTGTGCAGTGCAGCAGCAGCTGGGAGTAGGCATGCTGTAGGTACGTTTGTGAGTGGGTAGGTGTGTGTGGGTGTGGATGGGTGTGTGGGTGGGTGCTTGGTGCTGCAGACGCTGCTGGGAGTGGGTATGTTGTTTGCAGGTGTGTGTGTGGGTGGATGGTGGGTGTGTTAGTGAGTGGGTGCATGCGTGGTTGGGTGGTGGGACCAAAAGAAAGGCAATGTGGGGTGTGATGTGGGGAAATGTAGCGCTCAAACTTACTCTCCTTCACCCTAACCCCCCTCTTCCGCTCACCTCCCCTCCCATCTGCTCTTGCTTGCAGATCCTCGCTTTCATTCTTAAGCCATCGAGCGGTGTGGCTGTCAAAAGACGAGCTTGTGGCAACCGTGGTTGCTTACACTGTTTCGGCTCCCCTTCTCCTCCTCCCCTTTCCATCCCTTGCTTGCAGATCCTCGCTTTCATTCTTAAGCCATCGAGTGGTGTGGCTGTCAAAAAGATGAGCAGGCGGTTCCCTGCTCGTTCTTCCTCAAAAAGATGAACGAGGTGGTTCCCTAATTCCGTTCCCTCTTCGTGTGATGAGTCGCTTTTTGAGTCGACTCAAAAGGCGGTTTTTTTAGTCGACTCAAAAAACGAGGCGGTTCCCTAATTCTGTTCCCTCCTCGTTCTTCCTCCTTCCCTTTCCATCCTCCGATCAAATCCCCTCTGGTCTCAGATCCTAGCATCTATCCTCAAGCCTCTCCCGGGAGTGGCGTGGCTGTCTAAAGATGAACTGGTGGGAACCGTTGTTGCTAATACTGTTTCCACTCCCCATCTGCTCCTCCCCTTTGCATCCCTTGCTTTCAGATCCTCGCTTCCATTCTTAATCCTCGCTTCCATTCTTAAGCCGCTCCCGGGAGTGGCGTGGCTGTCAAAATACGAGCTGGTGGCAACCGTGGTTGCAGAGAGGGAGAAGAGTGAATCGTGCTTGCTATTACGGACCTCTTTCTTTTTCCTTCTTCCCTTCCTCTTGCCTTGCTTTCAGATTCTCGCATCTATCCTCAAGCCGCTCCCGGGAGTGGCGTGGCTGTCAAAAGATGAACTGGTGGGAATTGTGGTTGCTGAGAGGGAGAGGAGGGAGGCGGAGGGGAAGGAGAGGGTGGAAGAAGAGGAGAGGAGCAGGAGGGAGGGGGAGGAGAGAGGCAGGAGGGAAGAGGAGGAGAGGGAGAGTTGGGAAGAGGAGAAGGAGAGGAAAGAGAAGGAGGAGAGGGAGAGGAGGGAAAAGGAGGAGAGGGAGAGGAGGGAAAAGGAGGATAGGGAGAGGAGGAAAGCGGAGGAGAGGGATGGGGAGGAGAGGAGGAGGTGGGAAGAGGAGGAGAGGGAGAGGAGGGAAGCGGAGGAGAGGGAGAGGAGGGAAGTGGAGGAGAGGGAGAAGGGGGAAAAGGAGGAGAGGAACAAGAGGGAAGAGGAGGAGAGGGAGGGGGAGGAGAGGAGGAGGAGGGAAGAGGAGGAGAGGAACAGGAGGGAAGAGGAGGAGAGGGAGAGGAGGGATGTGGAGGAGAGGGAGAGGAGGGAAGAGGAGGAGAGGAACAGGAGGGAAGAGGAGGAGAGGAACAGGAGGGAAGAGGAGGAGAGGAACAGGAGGGAAGAGGAGGAGAGGAACAGGAGGGAAGAGGAGGAGAGGAACAGGAGGGAAGAGGAGGAGACCACTGCAGCTGCTTCTGCTGCTCCTGCTGCTCCTCCTCCCACTGCTCCTGCTGCTCTCCCTTCCACTCCCGTTGCTCTCCTTCCTACTGCTCCTTCTGCTGCTCCTCCTGCTGCTCCCCCTGCCACTGCTCCTCTAGCTGCTACAGTGATGCACCCTGCTACAGTGGCACAGCCTGCTACAGTGGCACAGTCTGCTACAGTGGCACATCCTGCTACAGTGGCGCATCCTGCTACAGTGGCGCATCCTGCTACAGTGGCGCATCCTGCTACAGTGGCGCATCCTGCTACAGTGGCGCATCCTGCTACAGTGGCGCATCCTGCTACATTCCCACATCCTGCAATAGTCACAGCTCCTCACCCACCTGCAATAACACCTGCTATAGTCACAGCTCCTTACCCACCTTCACAAGCACCTGTTTTAGTCACAGCCCCACACGCAACCCCAATAGCACCTGTTATAGTCACACCATCACACCTACCTGCTATAGTCACAGCTCCACACCCACCTGTTTCTGTTCTGAGGCCCAATCCAGCAGGCAGCATTCACGTCAACTCCCCATTTCACCTCTCTTCTGCTGCTGCTTCTGGCAATGCTGCTCTTGGTGCTGGTGCTGCTGGTACTGGTGCTGTTGCTACGGCCCGACTTGCCCCCATCAATGTTAACCCCACCCTGCCTGCACCCGAGCAGCTGAGCTCTTTTCAGGAAGCTTTTCAGAGCGGTGCAGGTGGTGTTGAGAGTGGTGTGAATGGTAGCACTGAAAACGGCTCTTTAGGCCAATTAGAGGCTCGGGCACTGGCAGCACTGGAAGACGATCTTAGCTTCAATGCCAAGGCTGCGGTTCAGGAGCAACGGGCTGCTGCGGAGGCTCGGGCAGTCCTTGCTGAAGCTGAGGAGCAGCTTCGGCGAGCACAGGCTGCAGTGAACCAAGCCAGGGCTGCTGCCTCTGAGGCAACCCACCGGGCCGAAGCTGCTGCAGCAGAGGCTCGGGAGGAGATGGATCAGCTGGCGGAGGCTCGGGAGCAGGTTCGGAGGAAGGCTGAGGAGTGTCGGCACGCTTGGGACCGCCACATCAGCATCGTGCGCCAGCTGGCGGCTGTATCTCCTGGCGCGTGTGGCAGGAAATCTTATTCCAGAAGGCGTAAGGAGGAGTTTGAAGCGGCAGCAAGGAGTTATGAGGAGTACTTGACGCTGTGGGAGGAGCTGGAGTGCATGGGACGAGGGAGCCTGCCGGAAACGCCACAGGCACAGTAATGCTGCAATGGTGCCTGCATATGCAAGGCCTTCCTGTTCGGTCAGAAATGACTGCGATCGGGGAGTATTTGGCATCGTGGCAAGAGTATTTCTCTTCGAGTATTTCTCTTCAGGAAGAGCTTGGATCTAGCGAGGGTGCGTGGAGGGTGCGTGTATAGCCACAAGCATAACAATGCTAGATGGCAAGGGGAGGGAGGAGTAAGCAGCAGCGAAGTGAGCTTGAACCTGTGGGGCATGGGTGGCTGAAATCATGAAATGCCTCAGGCACGCTCAGGTCTGCATGGGGAGGGGAGGAAGGTGCTACAGCCCTTGTGTTTCTGAGTCTGCAAGGAGGTTGAATTCATTCGGCTGGGTGGTGTTTAGATGTTGACTTGACAGGCACGGATACCGTAATACCCCGGATATAAGCGCACCTGCGCTTATAATAAAACGTGTTTTTTTAGGGGGGTGCGCTTATAATTGAGTAAAATCTATAAGCGCATGCGCTTATAAGATGACAAATAGACATATATATTTTAAAAGCACTAAACTGTACATCTCCTCCTTGCAACTTCAACCGAATCGAAATTTTGAGCGTCCAAAATCAGAATCGTGCGGGGTCGATACTCTGCCGGTGCACAGGGGCAAAAGTTACACGTCAGACTGCTGGAATGCCAGCTCATCCTCAAAGTCAATCGAAGCGAAAATGGTTGTGTCCTCGCTGCAAAATTAGATTTCGTTACCGTTTTAATCAAAATTTAAAATTGAAATTAGACATGCGCTTATAATAAGTAAGGTTTTTACAGGGGGTGCGCTTATAATTGAGGAACGGGCATAAGCGCAGTGCTCCAGATATAAGCGCATGCGCTTATCATAGGCCTGCGCTTATATCCGGGGTGATACGGTAACTTGAATAACAAGCCTATGTTGGGGTTACACGTAGGAGGGGAGTGTCTGACCGTACAGTAGGAGCACAAGTAGGTGCGCTAGCTAGGGATAGGAGGATGAGTGCTGGTGCACCTATTTATATGAGCTTTGTAAATATAGCTGCAGTTTATGAAGTCGGATTTACTCCTTTATTCTGTAGTGTGGGTATTTGAGTTGGAGGAAGTTGAATTACCCTGGCCACCCCACTCACTTTATAAGCATGAGCACCATACACTCTGGGATGCAGGCCCTTATATTCGTTTTGAGGTAGTCTGAGGCCTCACAGTACACCCCTCTTCCTAGTCTGGCAGTCAGAGTGACCCGATTTTTTAAGTCTGAGAGTTCAGACTACACTTGCATTTCAACGCTGATCATACAGAGTAACAGTCTGTTTTCCGGCATATATGAAAACACTTAAGTAAACCTTTTACATTTCTTCTTGATAGTGTGACAGAGATACTACAGGGGCACGTTCTACTACTGTCTCGTCTACAGGCTCCTTCCCAGCCCTAGAGGGCTCCTCCCTGTGCCTTGCAGCAGGTGCTGTGACCGGCCGGCACTTCTTGTACCAGTTGCGCCATATCTCTACTACTCCTGGGACATCTAGCTCATAGTCTAGGAGTGAAATACAGAGCAGATCACTCAGCCTACAATCCTTTATGCTGCCCCTCTGCCACGTTTTGATGAAATTATGTCAGGAGAATCCTCGCTCACACTCGACCGTGCTGAGAGGCAGCACGGCAATCGCCACCCACAGTCCGACGAGGTTGGGGTACGCCTGCTGCAAGTCGGGTGTCCTGAGATTCGCGGCAAACTTGCGCTCGCTCTTCAGAGCTCTGGCAAGGACTGGACATAGTGTGCGCAGCTCCCTCACGGCTTTCTTCTTGTCAATGCCTGCAAGGTAAAACAGCACACGGGTTTAGTAAACGAGCCGTTGTCAAAGGGGGAACGGGGCGGGGTGACACAAAAACATACCAGGTAGGATCTCGTCGGCTTCATCTGCGCGAAACAATGTGACAAGCGACAACAACCACTCTAGGCACTGTGCCTGCCGTGCATCCCGGTCCCAGTGCGGTTGCCACATCTCCGGAATAAACAACCTCACTCCGGAAAGAGAGTCAAGGTCGCCGAGCTTGGACTGGAGGTTCTCGACGACGAGCTCGGCCATGTCGGTGCAGAGCGCAACGCAGGCGACCTGGCCCACGATAGCTCGGGTTGGTGCGCTCGTGAAGTTTTACCTTGAAGCGGTTCATACTGCCGTCGGACGATGCTCCCTCCACCACCATTTTTGGTGACCCACTCGGACCGTGCTTCTCAATGAAGCGGTAGAGCCTCTCGGTCGCCCCCCCCCCCCCCCCCCCCCCCCCCCCGAAGTCGTCGCCACAGTCGATATACCGGGCCTCCAAGATCGATGTGGTGCGCACAATCTGCGGGTGCACCAGCGCGTAGTCGAGCTGCATCACAAACATTCAACGAAAATTAGTACAAAGGGTTTTGTACTAGAACCACCACAAGCAACACCCTGAAAGTCACTTACCTCCCGCTTCTGGAAAACCGAGGAGAGGACGTTGAGCTGCTCCAGCATATCCACGAGGAACCTGATGAGGAACTGGAACCTGTACGACGTGACGAGTTCGTACATGGTCTGGTCCTTCCACTCCGGCAACATCACCATGATGGCAGGTAGGACTTGGACGAAGCGGGCGACTGCAGCTCCTCTGGACAGCCACCGCACGTCGTGTATGCCTTGGACCTCGAGGTTGGTGGACGTGAACACCTCCTGGAGCTCCATGAAGCGCTGATGCCACGGCCCCGATCGCCCAAGGTACTCTGCGACGGCGCGGATCACGTCGTCAACCATGTTGAAGGTTGGTATCGCCTCCGCTGCGGCTTTGGCAGCCAAGGCCTCCCTGCCAAACAAAACCACAAATACACAGTTAAAGATTAATAAAGTTCTTCAGTGACGTTTACACCTGGCATTAAAACACAAACGCACCGGTGAGCGATGCAGCGAAACGAGACCATGTTGGGGATGAGCTGTCGCAGACGAGCAACCACACCGTTTTGACTCCCCACCATCACAGAGGCACCATCCGTGCTCACTCCCGAGATACGCCGGAGGTCAACGCCGACAGCCCTGAGGTGGGAAAGCAACAAACTGCACAAAGATGCAGCGTCAGCCCTCTCAACCGTCAAATGCGCGACGAACTCAGCGGCAACTTGGCCATCACGAAGAAACGTGGCAAACACAATCATGTGTTTGCCGTGCCGACGGTCGGTGCTCTCGTCCAGTGTTATCCCGATGAAAGGGCTCAGAAGAAGGTGCTCTGGTTGCGTTGTTTGGAGCCATGTCGCAATTGCTTGAGTGAGCTCTCCAAAGCCGTACCTACACAAGGAAAACATAGTCGTTAGCGAAGGTCATCGACAAAAAAATGTTGTAAACACGGGGCATACATGAGACATTACTTACGTATTATAGTATGTGCCGTAGCCCTGCTCGGGAAATCCGAGCACCTTATTCTTCGCCATGTAGCGCACCAGCCGGATCCACGAGTCCATGGGCTCGTTGCACTTCCCCATGAAGTACACCGAGTCCACGAGCGACGACACCTGCAGCAACTCCATGTCCTGCGCTTTCGGGTGCATGTCGATGCGCAGCTGTCGCCCATACTTCTGCAGCAAGTCCTCCTGACGCTGCAGAGAAAATCGGTGCTTCACCATCCCTTCGTGCTTCTTGAAAGACTGTGCCTGCACGTCTGTAGCTCCCTCGGTACGCCGCCCACACTTGCCATTCAATCCCGCAAACTCCAAGCAAATACTGCACTTGAAAGAAGGGGCACCAGAAGAGGTCTTAGTTAGAACAAGCCAACTGTAATCGGTGGACCACTTGGATCTAAATCTCTCATGAGCTTCCTCGTATTTCAACTCAGGATTGTCAGATTTGGGCTTTGAGCTGCCCTGCGTGGGCTTTGTGCTGTCCTGCGTGGGCTTTAACCTGTCCTGCATGGGAGAATCGTCGCTCGCAGGAGTCACAACGGTCGATGGAGGAGGCGGAGTTGCCCACCCAAGGGTGGACTGACAGTACCGCAGCTTCGGAGGTGGCGCGGGACGGGAAGGTGCACCGACGGACGCCTCATGGGGCACCGCCTGTTGCGGAGTGGTTGCTGGTTCAGTGACGGCCTCGTGCAGAGGTGGGGTGTCTCTGGGAATAGGTGGGCGGCTCGAGCTGGGTTGCGACGGTGGCGTTTGCGGTGGATTGTGCTTCGGTAGGACAGACCTAATGAAGTCTAGACCGGTGAGTGGGTCAGAAACTGGGCGACCGACTGCATCATCCTCATCGTCGGGCCCATCCGCGACAGCCTCTGTGGCTGCCATTGAGCCTGCCGAGCAGAGGTGTAGCGAGCTAGGAAAAGGGAGCCTGAAACAAGGGCTCCTACACTACCGTCATCGCCCGGATATAAGACAGTGTTGAATAGTAGACAGGGGTTGTCTACTATACGGGTGTCTCTTATAAACAGGCAAGCCTTTTTATACGACACCTATTTGTGTGTACGAGATAAGACATATATGTCTTATAATCAGAACCGGGGTTTAGGGGTTTTCTTATAAACAGGGGGTGTCTTCTAAACGAGCCTACACTACTTTAGGGGGGTACATCCATACATTCATGAATCCCTACTTCTACCTAAAACCCCTCAGTAACCGCCTCCTCTGCAGCACTAGCAACAGGCTCTACGCCCAGGTCTGGCACTCGCCAGGCATGCCTAGCCGTCTCCCTTGGCTCGATCATGCGGTCAGCCTCGGCCGCCGCTCCGCGGTAGTTGGGGGTCTCCTGGTACAGCACCTCCAGGCCAGTTGCCACGGCCACCTCCCGCACGCCCTCCGCCTGCATCGCCTCCTCCTCCTCCTCCTCCTCCTCCTCCTCCTCCTCCTCCTCCTCCTCCTCTGGAGCCTTCCGAAGCAGGCGCGTGTTGTCGCCTGTGGTCCCCCCAAGGGACATGTCCTCGGAGACATCGGTGGTGCTCCTGGCGCGCAGGTGAGACATCACCAGGTGGTTCTCCGTTCCGTCCAGCTTGGTGGAGATCCCACAGTGGCGGAACGCGTCGATGATGATCTGCCTGGGGACTTGATCCCAAGCCTCCGCGATCCACTGCAGCACCACGGGGTGCGGAGGCCTCCGCAGGTTCCCTGCGGGTGGGACAGAGGACACGGCATCGAGATGTTAACGATAAGGACACGAAACAGAGCAGGAATTTAAAATGAACAGCCAACTCACCCTTCTTCGTCTTCAGGTGAATCCCTTCACGCATGAACCACCTGGCGTAGCGCGCTCGCACGGCAGCCTTGAAGCACCGGTTGATGGAGACGTCCAGGGGTTGAATCTGGCTCGTACAACCCGCTGGAATGACTGCAGGGGTGATGCTGTGCGTGCGGTACGACTGAAGCATGGTCTGGGTGATGTGGCCGCGGTAGGAGTCCAACACCAGCATCGCACGCCTCGCGCTCTTGCCGCGCTGGGGGTTCAGATGGGGAAGCACCTCCTTGGACAGCCAGGTCTGCACAGCGCTCTCGTCCATCCACCCGTTGTCCTGTGCTTGGACCACGATTCCTGCCAGGCACACAAGGGACAGACGGACATCAGCACAGTGGGGCACGCTCATGAGGCAGGGGCAAGGTTGAAGTCATGGCGCTTACCATCCGGAATCTCACAGTTGGGGACGTTCTTCATCTTGAACCACACCCACGGCCGCAGCTTCTCCCCGGATGCAGTGCACGCGAGCATCACCGTCAAGCGCGTCTTCTGGTAGCCTGCAGTGCGGATTGGGACCGAGCGCGCGCCACGGTGCTCGATCGTCCTCTCGGCCGGCATCTCCACGAACAGTGGCGTCTGGTCCGCGTTGATGATACGGGCCAGGTCGATGTTGTGCCGCGCCCTGTTGATGCGCACGAACTTCCAAAAGGACTCGCAGTCCTTCGCGCACTCTGCAAACGGGACAGGAACAGAAGCGAGGGACGGTTAGACAACGAGCAAGGTAAGACATGCATACAATGGGCCGTGCGCGGCACGAACTCCTTATCCACACACCTGCCGACAGACGTTGTCCGACCTTCGTCTTCACCCGCATCACCAGGTTCCAGCGGTCACGGAAACGCTGGCTCCAGTGAGAGCTCGCGTTCCAGTTCTTGCCGGGGTAATGCTTCTTCATCCACTCGCGGCTCCACTTTTGGGTGTCCTTCACCGAGATGGCCACCCCGTTAGCGCGCTGAAGGCAGATGTAGCGGTACAACGCTGCCTCCATGTCGGGGTAGTGTGCGTGGCGGCCCCCCCCGTGCATCCGCTTGCGGCAGTTAGCCGCGCCCTTGTAGATGCCCGCAGCCGCCTCCGCGCACCAGCGTCTGATGCAGGCGACGCTCGCGGTTGACTCCAAGCTAGTCTTCTTCAAGGAGCCGAGCTCCTGATAGCGGCGCGCCCACTTAACCTTCTCACGCACGGTCCAGCCGCGGCGCTTCTTCGTAGTGTCTTTGCTGCGAGGGGAAGGTGGGCGGGTGTTGGGATTATGGAGGGTGGGGTCCTTCGGCGCCTCCTTCTCAGGGAACGTGGGAATCGGGCCCGCCGCCGCCGCGTACTCATCGTCGTTGCCCAACGCCTCGTTGACGATGATGTCGTCAGGATTCGGCGCCTTCTTCGCCTTTTCTTTGCCGCACCCTTGCTGGATCCAGGGTCTCCGTCGTCCTTGCGCTTCTTGTTGCTTGTGCGGCCACGAGCAGGGGCCTGTGCAGGGGCCTTAGCAGGGGACTTAGCAGGGGCTTCCACGACCTTTGCCTTTCCCTTCTCCGCAGCGGTGAGTAGGGGGCGACGCTCCTCCCCGGGACTATCGTCGTCACAGAGCACCACGCGGGCGCGCTTCGTCGTGGACTGTAGGCGATGGCGCAGCCTCCGCTTCAGTAGCGGAACGTCGTCGTCTGTCCCAAGGCTCCACGGGTCGTCGTCGTCGCCCTCACCCTCAAATAAGACGGCATCCGCAGCCACCTTGTTCGCCTCCGCCACCGCGTCCGCATCCGCAGACGCCTCTGTCTCGAGTTCCGCCGCCGCCTCGTCGGCAGCCTCATTCGCATCCACCGCCGCTTCCTGTGCCTCCGCGTTGTCACCGCCAGCATCTTCACCTCCGTCGTTGTCGGAATCACCAGCCCGCCACTCTTCCACCTCGTCGTCGCTCCCGACCGGCTGATTCCACCATTCGTCCTCCTCGATGTCGGCAGTACCAAATTCGTCGCCCGAAGCGCTGTCATCGTGGCCGTTCTCCGGCCAATCCTCCTCGGCGTCGTCGCCATGTGCTTCGTCTCCGTCTTCCCCGTCACAGCTCGCACCGGAGGCGGCGGTAGGACTTCCCGCCTTGCTCGCGTTCTTCGCCATGGCTACGCGGATGTCATCGCCGGGCGAGTTAATTCGCCCGTAGTTATTCACCTGCACGTGAGGACGAGGTGAGGACTTGCCTAGGGGTACCTTGCTGCGCATGGTTAGAGAGCCTGTCGAGAGCAAGGTTGAGGTGAGAATTCAACCTCCATGAGCACCAAATGAAGTGAAAGCCCGACTACCCCCCCCAGCCAGAGTGCCCCATCCACAGGTGCCGAGCCGCTCCTCTACGAGGCATCTCCTCGTAGAGGACAGCCTGACGCTGCCAACGTGCTGCCAGCAGCGTTCTGGAAGCTGCCATGCGCTGCTGGCAGCAAAACGACGCTGGCAGCATCATTAGATGCTGCCAGCACAGAGGAATCTTGCCAGCGGTGGCAGCTTTGCTGCATCACCACCGAGGTCGGCCTGTTTCAATGAATCTGGTCCCTGGGTGTTTTCTACACACTTTGCAAGTGTTACAGTCAACTTATTTTTTTTTCCATTTATAAGAATTATAAGACACCCTAAACCATCGCGTTTACAAGATAACTCAAGCATTTTTGCCCGTGTACGAGATAAGACATATATGTCTTATATCCGGGCGATGACGGTAGTTTCAGGCGAGGCAAATGGAGCGGACCCTGAGAGAGACTGGCAAGAACGGTGTCTAAGAGGAAGATGAGAGGTCCTCGTAGTAGGACCTCTCATCTCCCAGGTGGTCATTGCATGCACGGCACCTGGGCGTGAATCCTTGGAAGGTGGGGTGAATGGGGTGGATGGATGTGGTCACGTGAGAGTAGCAGCGCGGTGCGAGCCCTGCGTTGGCAACTGGGAAGGTGGGGTGGGGTGGATGGACGTGGTAATGTGAGAGTGGCAGCGCGCTGCGAGCTATGCGTTGGCAACATTGAAGGCGGGGTGTGGTGGATGGTCGTGGTGTAGAGCGAAGGTGCAGTGCGCGGCGAGCTATGTGTTGGCAAGGAATCTTGCCAACACTGCCTGCGGCGCAGCCGCGATTGGTCAGAATTGGTTGTGATTACAGCAATTCTGTACCAATGCGAGTGTGCGATGTCGCGCTGGCGAAATTGAGGGTTCCCGCCCGTGATTGACGGGGTTAGTGCTACACGCCGCCAGGCTGGCGCAAACCTGGGATGGCATCTTGAAATATGTAGTGTACTTGCTGGCTGGCTGGTTGTGAGGGTACTCGTTCACTATGTATTGAACACCACTCACGAGATAGCATTACAGTTATAGACTTTACATTTTTGCAACACAAGAAGCACAGCAAGCTGCAAACCTGCAGCCGTCATAGACAGGCAATCGCTGCAAGCCTGCAACACAAATGGGCAAAACTAAAACTCCAGGCAATGGCAAAGCCTGAATGCATCATAACGGCATACAGGAACGTAACCTGCTGTACAAGGAAAGGCGGATGTACGCGATATAGGCGGATGTAAGCGGATGTACAAAACTACCGTAGGTTGGTAATCTCTTAGAGATTGGTGGCGTCTTCGAATCTATCGAGGAAAATCGGAGCAGTCAAATGCCACATGCCGGTTGCGAGTGAAGCAGCCTCGGAAAAAGAAATACAGCTTGACGGGATACGTAACGGCACCGGCTCCGCGAGTATCCCCGTTATGGACATTAATCTCTCCCGGATGCAAGCATCATCCTCCATTGATCGTCCTCCTCCTTCTCATTGCCGAACGACCTCGCGCGAACAATCACGTCTTTTCCCGAAGGAGGCGACGCTTCGAGTGGAGGCGAGAGGCGGAGGCCGCAAGGCACGGCGCTTACGACGGCGGAAGAGCTGAATGCCTTGCCGACGCTCTTGTCTCGCGTGAGAATGACCCTCAGCCACGGTGCTGTCGCCATGTCGGAATCACTATACTGAACAAGAAGGTAACTCGGGTACAAACGTGTTCCTTGAGTAGTTAATTCAAGGGATGAGTACCCAATTCCAACAAGGAATGATTTCTAGTGCAGAGTACCCTACCCAAGTTGTGAGCTCGGATAAAGAATACTCTAGCAGGACGAGCGAGCAGGCAGAGGTGGAGAGAGTGGAGAGAGTGGAGAGAAATGGAGGCAAGGGCGTTTATGTACAGGCCAGGAAATGGAGGAAAGGAAGGAGGGGATGGGGTGGGGGTGAAGCTGGAATGGCAGTGGGAAATTGGGAAAAGGTCAGCACGAAGCTACAATTTCCGATAACACAGGCAACGGGACGTGAATATGAGAACGGGTGCAGCAGACCACAAGGGATTGCATGGGGTGCGCGGGTGGGTCACTGGGATGGGGTTGAATGTCTTTGGCTATCCGTGTTTGGCTGTGTGAATAACTGACCGACCTTCTACTACGTCGCTGAAAGAATGAAGCCGTTTTGAACATCGCCATGGCCATGGCGGTAGGATGCGGGCGGAGGGGAAAGGAGCTGGAACGGTAACCAATGGGTGGAATCGGCGGCACAAGCCAATGGCGGGGAAGCGGGGGAGTGCGGGTTCAGAAGGGTAAGGGGATGTTCGGCGGAACGAGACTATCGGCGGAATCCGTGGTTGCGGTGCGTTGCATTTGGTGCCTCGAGTTTTCATTGATGACTAGGCGACGACGACACGAATTTCGCTCTGACGCGCAAAGAACAGTCGTCATTCGCAAGCAGGGAAGTCGAACAATCCCAAGATGACGAGGGTCTTGGCTGAGCAATATCCAAGACACGAATGTTGACGTGGAAAGTAGTGTATATGATTCAGCAGCGAAGGCTCTGGTTCTGGAGTGGTTGCTCCTGGACAAGGCTGCGTGGCGCCTCATCAGTCATTTGCTTGGGAATCACCAACGCTTTTACATTGGTCAGACCACGTCAGATCTACCCAATCACGACGCAATAAATCACTCGTCACAGGCCGACCCAATTTTAACACATCGCATGGGTCAGCCACTCGTTTCCAGACGCTATGGATAAGTGTTGAAATGCTAGTAAAAAACCCTATCGGTAGGCAGCATCTTTGCAGCATTATGAAAGAGACACTCCTTGACGCGTAGAAACACTTTTAACGAAAAAAAAAACGTTACACACATACAACGTTTCACAAACCATCTGGTTTGGCTGGAAATTTGCTCTTAACTACCTTCCCCTCTTGCCCCACAGCTGCCGCAAATTCTCGGAGCTTCTTCATTACTGCTTGATTCCGATGGGCTGCCATGGGGTAATATGTAGTTGCATGAGACTGATGGATAGAGAGAGCTACCGTAGGTAGAAAGAGAATGCTGGTGTGATGCTGATTAAAGGAAGCTGCCTCAACATAGATCTCATATCAATGCAAAAAGAGTGAACAAAGTCGTACCTGAGAGAATGATGTCGTCAGGTTCCACTCTCTTCCTCTTGGCATGGCGTGCAAACAACTGCACATCCCGAGCCAATTGTTCTGCAGCCAGGCGAATAGAAGCAAGGCGTTGGGTGGGTATGTGTGCAGTGTAAAACGAACAATAGAAGAATGAATCATTCTAGCAGCAAAAGCTAGCAGCAGGAGCTCGCGATTCCATAGGGATGCATAAGAAAACCCACCAACCCATCTGGCAGAACTCATCATGAGACAGCAGGTGCTCACCTGCATACGTCAGGGTCAGGTGCACAAGCGCCTGCATGACGTCATCGTGGATGGACATCCCTGCCGACCGAGCTGAAGAGAACAAGACGATAGGACCGTCGGGAATAAGGAAATATGAGGCGCCAAAGCGTGTCACCGTTGTACGCGTCCATGGTTGACTAATTTTAAAAACGGATATCGGTTGGAATGGAAACCGAGGAGGAATTTGCTAGACGGTACTGGGATTCCGTGTGACAAGATCAGATCAAATTCTCCCGTTTCGGTCTCACAAAAGATACTCACCTACCCGTCACTTCCGCTATCATCACCACCGCTGCTGCCATGCGCTGTTCCGCTGCCTTCCTTTCACTCTCATCCCCAACGCCTTCGTGTTGATCGTCTCGCTGTTCACTCCGTTTTTCGAATCCTTCTTCTTGTCCAGTATTCCTGATGCACCGCTCCTCGAAAGGCCTTACGGAATGGGATCCAGTCCTGTCTGACTCATTTCTCCCCAGTCCATAAGTTCCCGCTTCTTCTGGCTGTGCTGTATCTACTCCTCGCTATCCTCTCTCACCATCTTATGTTTCTTCAAACTTACGCGTGGTGCTCGTAAGATTTATATGCGTTCTTGTTCCTAGGTTGCTAAATCTTCTCGCTTTCATCAGAAGCGACGTGCACACTCTCAGTCTACAGCACATTCGAATTTCATTTCATGGCAATAAACAATGCCCTGTTAATGTCAGTTTAATAATCAATACCCTGTTAAAAAATAGCATATCACGCAGTATTGATTTCAAGAACTTCCTGTTAGCGGAGTTCACAATAAATATTACTGCACCTCATTGAACTATCAGAAGTATATGCGTGTGGATCTACTCGCTGTATATTGTTACCGAGACACACCGTGTTGAGGTTTTACTGTTGTGCTGGTTCAGGAGGTTAGGTTCAGGCAGTTACCGAAGCGGTGTTTTCTTCAGGTGGAACATTTTTCTGCGCAGCAGGTTAGTTGCCGACATGGTGCCGCGATTTGGCAGCGTTGCGACTCCGAAGAATTTCGTCTTCACCTGTGATTGGCTCTGTGATCGTTGACGACACACAATTTCGCAACATCACGAGTGGCGCAATCCCACGGTTACGAATGCTGTGAGATGGCACGCACATCGCCAGACTCCGGGCGACAACCACTTGGAGATCCCATGTGGCAGTGTGACGAACCAGAAGCGATCAGCCCTCCTGCCAACGAGCCGAGCCTCGATGTCCCCTAGACATACAAAGCCGAAGCTGGTAAGTACAGTAAAGAGACAGTTCAGCTTCGACACCACGAGGTACTCCCGAGCCTCTCCAATAACGTCCCGTGCCAACGCCACCCTCTCGCACCAAACCTTTCTCACCAACTAACCAACCTAACTTTCAAGTCTCTCAGCCATGGATTCCTCTCCCTTGAGATTAGAAGCCAGTATCAAGTTTATTACCTGGCACCAATGTCTACTTTATGGTAGTCTGTCCACGTGATGTTGATTTCGTAAGGGGCTCTTTTCCATTGGCCTAAGCCGTAGCATGCTGTAAGCTTGATCGTGGGCTGAGGTTTCTGGTGTTTCTGCTACTGCAGGCATGCCCTCTGAAGCCATCGCAAATTTCGGAGACATTGCAGCCTTTCCGTGTAACTTTAGCCTGGGATCCATTGTGACATAGTCGGCTCGTTCTCGTGAACGCGTACGTGCGTCTTATAGTAATCTGAACGAGTCATTCTCATATATAGACGCAGCAGACTGCCATCATTCTCTGATATCTGCCATTCACTGATCGACACCGTTGCTGATTCAACCATCGTCACTTCACCTACTTAGACGTTTTTCCGGGGCGATCACCACTTTGATCAATACCCACAACAGAAGGGGACATACCTAACACCTCATAGCGCACAGCTCGCAGTTGATGACAATGGATGACAAGAAGAACAGAAAGCGAGGTCCTCGGCATCGCCGAGGCGTTTTGATTCTCGTTCTGCTCCTCGTCGGCGTCGCTGCGTTCCTGGGCTTCGCGTTCAGCTCCTCATCCAAGTACAGCAGCCGGAATGGCGTTCAACAATCGGACGGGTATGATAACAGTGCCCCATTTCCGCTGGATCCACCCTTCTTTTTAGACTGTTTTATAAGATTACGAAGTGTGTTTCTGGGCTTCGCGTTCAGCTCCTCTTTTAAGCACAGCAAAAGGAATGGCGTAAACCCATCTTACAGATTCCACAATGCTTTTCAAAATGCTCTAAATTCTCAATACCTTCGTTTCTTTCCTCTTTTGATCTCGTTCCCTTTATCTGCTCTGACTTTCCTGTTCCCTTTCTTTTTTCCGTGCTGTGTTATTGTCCTGTGTCCTGGCAGCGTTATCGGTCAAGCGGCATCAGGTGCGTAGTAAAACTTCATTCTGGCCTTATTTCCGTTTCCGGAAGCTCTTACGAGTGAAAAGAAGCAGTTTTCTTTAAGGAAATTATGTATCAGACTGCTCACGTAAAGTTGCTCGCTCAAGCGCGCTTAATTTCGCGCTGGAAAACAGATCGAAACTCGGCTTCGAGTCACACATTGTCGATGTTTCGCTGCGGACTGACAGAAATACTGCGAAATCGTCAAAACTGTTGAAACGATCAAGCAACGAGCTGCGCATGTGGATGTTCCGATCTGTTCGTGTACGGTTCCACTCTACACAACAGTCTCGCTCATTAGCATGCTCGCATCTAATATAGCGGAGATTCTGCGAGCAAATGATCCCGCGACCGAGAGTATACGGGATGCTCACTTCCAGTAGACTTCAAACTTTTCCTCATCTGGCGTATGTGACCTGCTGCTGCCTAGGAAGCGTGGGTACATGATCGCCCAGCAGAAACCGTGCAGGTTGATTAGGGTTTCAAGCGTACGTACGCGAGCAGATCGCACATCTCAAAGGATTTTGTTCTGATCCTTACTTTCCTCGTGTCTTCCTCCCTTCATTTTTGTCCAATTTCATCGTGTCCGCCGATCTGCCACGTGTACAGAAGGAGGTAGCGGGTGGAGCTTACTCGGTCAAGGCATGCTGGAGGCGGTGGGGAAGGTGCTCAGCTTCGAGGAACGGCAGAAGGTCTCTGAAGACCTCAAGGAGTCGGGCGACGACGACCACGAGGTGAGCTCAGTTGGCCTTTGAGTCGAATCCGCCGATCCGCCGCGTGCGAAGAAGGAGGGAGCGGGTGGAGCTTGTTGCCGAACATTTTGTGTCAGTGCGCAAGTCAGGTAAGCGTTTTAGGTGCTCAGGAAACGAAGATCGTGAAATGACGGTTGAAACGATGACAGGCAATGCGTGAGGTGAGCTTTGAAACCAAGACAGGCAATGACGATTGTGCTCTATTGATTATCTGACAGCGTTCATCCTGTTGCGTCTCACCCAATGAATGCCCTGGCTACGAGATATGGAGTGAATGAATGCTTGACGATTTCCCTGAACGGACCTACAGCTTGCTGTGTACTTCTTCCTTGCAGTCTCACAATCCCGTCTGTCATGTACTTTCTTTTTTGAGGCGCCTCAAAAATCGATTTCCCTGAACGGACCTACAGCTTGCTTTGTACTTCTTCCTTGCAGTCTCACAAACCCGTCTGTCATGTACTTTCTCGTTCCTACCCATCTCCCATCATTCTCCTTCCCTCCCCTCCCGCTCACGCCTTCCCTTGACAACCTCAGGCTGAGGCGATTGTAGCCACAACCCCTCCAGGCAGCGCAAGAGCCACAGGCGACACATGGCAGCAGCAGCGCCAGCAGCAGATCTAAAACCCTTCCGTCTTGTGGCTCGCTCGTTCTTACCCATGTTCCCTCATTTCCCCCTTCCCTTGACGCACTTACAGGCTGAGGCGATTGTAGCAACAGCCCCCCCAGGCAGCGCAAGAGCCACAGGTGACATGGCAGCAGCAGCGGCCGCAGCAGCTCTAAAACCCCGCGGAGGGGGCAGCTCGGGCAGCACAGCAGCCGCCGCAGCAGACGACAACCCCCTGAAGAACAAGACCATGGCGGAGCTGAGCGCGCTGGCCGTGGGTGTGACTGTAGAGCGCGTGCCTCTATCAGGGTTCATGGGCGTGGATGGACGGCTGGGGATCACGGATGGGAGTTGCCAGGCCACGTCTGGGGAGAGGGATTGTCTGCCGCATGGCATCTGCATCAACGGCAAATGCCGGTGCACCCTCCCGTGAGTGAATCACCTCTGTCCTGCCCAGGTCACCTTATCTTGAAGAATCTTGTTGCCATAGAATCATCTATGGCTGCCTCGTAACCAGAGTTCCCATCTCCCACCTCCCCCTCCCTCTCCCCCTCTCCACCCCCCTCCCCTCCCCTTCCCTTCCCCTCCACCCCAACACCTTCTGTTTACCCTCCCCCCTTCCTCTGCCACAGCTACCAAGGTGACTTCTGCCGCTCTGCACGGCGTCCCTTTGTGCGCAAGAAGTCGACCTACGACGGCCGCTTTGTGCTGAGCGTGAGGCACGTGCGCAAGGCACACGGGGTCAAGTACCCTCTCACGCCCTCCCCGGGCTCCTACGCTGCTACCAACGCCGCAGCTGCTGGCACGGAGGGAGGCGCGGAGGAGGAGAAGGAGAAGGAGGGTGAGGGCGCCGCGTTTTTCGAGGCGCCGTTTTTCACTGCGGGGAAGGTCAACCGCGTTGTGTGGGGCAATCTGCAAAAGGTGAGGGGACTGTCTGTCCGTGTGCTAGCCAGCCAGCCCCCACCACACGCTTTCAGTTTGCCGTTTTTCACTGCGGGGAAGGTCAACCGTGTGGTGTGGTGTGGTGTGGTGTGGTGTGGTGTGGTGTGGTGTGGTGTGGTGTGGTGTGGTGTGGTGTGGTGTGGTGTGGTGTGGTGTGGTGTGGCGTGGTGTGGTGTGGGCCAACTTACAGAAGGTGAGAGGGTTGTGCTGGATGAGTGCCACAACACATCGTGGGGAGGGGCCGCAAGGACGTTTGCGTTTCTTAAGGGTTTTTCAATGCTGAAAAGGCTAGAATTAACCTGATGGAGCTGGGGCCAATGTTTTGACACGACTCAAAACACGAGGACGTGGCATTTCTTAAGAGTTTTTCAATGCTGAAAAGGTTAGAATGAACCTGATGGAGCTGGGGGCAATGGTGTCTCAAGCGCTGCTGGAGCATCTGCCAGGCAGCGACCTGCTGCAAAACGCTCTCCCTTACTCAACTCCTCGTGCTACACTTAACTTCACTCATTCACAAACCCTCGCGTATTGTTGCCCTCCCGTCTCGCTCTCCCTCCCACAGGGCAAGCTGATCGAGGTGGTGCCCATGGTATCTCAGGCACTGCTGAAGCATCTCCCAGGCAGCGGCCTGCGGCCCTCTACTGCTCGTCCTTAGGTGTTGTCTTCCCTCATCTGTTGTCCCTCTCCCTCCACAACAGGGCAAGCTGATGGAGCTGGTGCCCATGGTGTCTCAGGCACTGCTGAAGCATCTCCCAGGCAGCGGCCTGCGGCCCTCTACTGCTCGTCCTTAGGTGTTGTTGTCTTCCCTCATCTGTTGTCCCTCTCTCTCCACAACAGGGAAAGCTGATGGAGCTGGAGCCCATGGTCTCGCAGGCGCTGTTGGAGCACCTGCCAGGCAGACTGATGTGACTCAGCCTGTATTTCATCTTCTCTCCTTTGCCTTTCCCGTCTCCTTTCTATCCTGTCTCCACAACAGGGCAAGCTGATGGAGCTGGAGCCCATGGTCTCGCAGGCGCTGTTGGAGCATCTGCCAGGCAGCGACCTGCTGCAGAACGCCCTGTTCAACTCAAACTCCCCATGCTCTGTGAACCCCCATCCCGTACCCTCATCTCATTCCTTGTGTATTGTTTCCCTCCCATATCTCCCTCCCTCCACAACAGGGCAAGCTGATGGAGCTGGAGCCCATGGTCTCCCAGGCGCTGTTGGAGCACCTGCCAGGCAGACTGATGTGACTCAGCCTGTATTTCATCTTCTCTCCTTTGCCTTTCCCGTCTCCTTTCTATCCTGTCTCCACAACAGGGCAAGCTGATGGAGCTGGAGCCCATGGTCTCCCAGGCGCTGTTGGAGCACCTGCCAGGCAGACTGATGTGACTCAGCCTGTATTTCATCTTCTCTCCTTTGCCTTTCCCGTCTCCTTTCTATCCTGTCTCCACAACAGGGCAACCTGATGGAGCTGGAGCCCATGGTCTCGCAGGCGCTGTTGGAGCATCTGCCAGGCAGCGACCTGCTGCAGAACGCCCTGTTCAACTCGTGTGCCATCGTGGGCAACTCGGGCTTTAACCTGCTCTTCCGGGACGGGCAGCTGATCGACAGCCATGACGCTGTGTTCCGACTCTTTGAGTGAGTGGAGTGGAAAGAACCTGCACTGAGTAGAAGTACTTTCACGGTGACTTGTGGAATGAGTTGAAACTTTGAGTCGCGCGAAAGGCAACCGGGCTTTGACCTGCTCTTCCAGGACGGACAACTGATCGACAGGAGTGAGTGTACTGAGGAAATAAATACCTGACTGGCTTGACAGCCACGATGCTTTGAGTGAGTAGACAAACCTTTAGACGAGTGCAATATGCCCTTTTCCAGGGAAAGGGGCGTGGCAGCAGCAGTGATGTGGTGGATCCATTGCATGTATGGGGTCGAAGGTCTGCACTCAATGCCTCAATGTTGCGGATGAGATGAGATGGAAGGCAATGGTCTGATTGATCTCTCCTCGTTCCCTCCTTCTCCCTCTCTCCTTCCTCCTCCCTCTCACTCCTCCCCCTCCTCCGCCCCCCTCCACCCTCTTTACCTCCTCTCCCTCTCTTCAGCGGCCCTACTGTGGAGAAGGTGCATCAGCAGCAGTGGCAGTGGATTTCACGGCGTTCGTGGGGCGAAGGGCCACCATGCGAGTCGTGGATGAGAACGCAGCAGTGCCCTGGTCAATCTCTCCTCATTCCCCCCCTCTCCCTCCTCCCTCCTCCGTCCTTCCCCCTCCCTCTTTTCCCCTCCCTCCTTTCTCCACCCTTCTTCTCCTGCGCTCCTCCCTCCTTCCTTCTTCCTCCTCCGCCTTCCCCCTTTTTTCCACCCATCAGTGGCCCCACTGTGGCGCGCAGTGGGGAGGGCGCAGCAGCAGTGGCAGTAGACTTTACAGCGTTTGTGGGGAAGAGGGCCACCATGCGAGTGGTGGATGAGGACACCATCGGGTTCAGCGAGGGAGGCGAAATCACCCTCATGAACGTCGCCTCTAAGAAGGGCTTCTATGGGCATTTCCAGGTATGCTACGCTGTGAGCTCGCTTATGAGTTGACTCCAAAGTCATCCGAACACCGTTGGGTGCAGCGAGGGAGGCGAAATCACCCCCATGAACGCCGCCCCTAAAAAGGGCTACTACGGGCATTTCCAGGTTTTCTGTTATTCCAGGCCAGCTTAGGCGCCACGGGTGCAGGTATGCCGTACAACCTGAGCCGAGACTGTTCCTTTGTGAATGGATCCGCATTCGACTGTGTGTTTGCCTCTATGCCACGGAGTATGAGTATCTTATGGTTTTCCTGTTTGCTTCTCGGGCATGTAAGAATCTGGTTCCTCGCCTTACTCGTCCTTCCTCCCCCCCGCCATCAGTTCCTGAACGAGCAACCGGACGCCAAGTCGTTCCTGTTCGACCCCGAATTCGCCACACACGTCACTGACAACATCGGTCCCATGCCCTCCCCCCTCGCCATGACGCTCTTCCTCGCTCTCCAGGTCAGCCCCCCTGTTGTTTCTTTGTACCTCTTTTCTTTCCCATGTTCTCACCACTTCACCCCCCCCCCCCCCCTCTCTCCTCCACCTCGCTATGACGCTCTTCCTCGCACTCCAGGTCAGCCCCCCTGCTGCTTCTTTGCCCATGTTGTCGGTCTGCCTTTTTCCCGTTCTTGCTCGTGCCCCTCCCCTTTTTTCCCTGGCCATACCATTTGCAAGCTGCATCCCTTGTTGCCCGTGTCCCTCCATACAACCTCTGGTTCCGTCAATCTTCAAGTTACGGGATACCTTAAGACTTCCCTAAAAATCACACACTACTGAACTCCTGTCTATCCTACTCCACCACAGCAAACCCTTCCACCTCCACCTCCTCCTAAACCCCCCCTTTCTCTCGCTTCCTTCCCCACAACCCCAGAAATGCGCTTCTTTGGACGTGTTTGGAGTGCACTGGCGGCCAGGATACGGAGTGCCAGAGCCGTCAGCAACTTCTCTATACCGAATGTCACCTCCGCTCTCTCCCTCTTCCCCCATCCGTCCCACACCACAACCCAGAAATGCGCTTCTTTGGACGTGTTTGGGGTGCACTGGCGACCAGGATACGGAGTGCCAGAGCTGTACTATAGAGAGACGGACTCTGACGCGGATGTGGTGTACCAGCAGCCAGCCGACCTGCAGCTAGTCGAGGTGAGAGAGGAAAAGAGCATCAAAACAGGCACTGGGTGGAAGTACATGGCGTCCCGTTATACGGAACCATTTAGGATCAAGGGACAAAGGGCACTAGTGAGTGATGGCTGTACCAGCACCCAGCAGGGCTGCAGGTAGTCGAGGTGAGGGGGAGGCGGGAACTAATGCTGCAGCAGGCAGTGGATGGGTGGAGGAAAGACGCGTATGTATAGGGAAGGATGGGAACAATAAAGGCCGATTGAGTGGTGGTTCGGGCCTGGGCACCCATGTGGGATAGGTTGCTAGAACGACACCTTCAAACCTTTCCCTCCCACCCTCTTTCCATCTCATCCCACTCGCCCCCTTCACCCCACTCGCCCCCTTCACCCCACTCGCCCCCTTCACCCAACTCGCCCCCCTCACCCTACTTGCTCCCATCCCCCATTCCCCCTTTCCTCACCCCCCTCGCTCACTCACCCCACTCGCTCCACTCACCCACTCGGCCCCCTCACCCCATTCCACCCCCTCACTCACGTCTAACTTCACCCACTATCCTCTCTTTTGTCGCGCGCCTCCTCAACCCCTCCACTGCAGACCCTTGCTCACCTGAACCTGGTGGGGCTGGGCCAGCCGTGTATGATTGGCTGTGAGACTGAGACGCGAATTCGCTGCGACTCGTGCTCTGCTGGCAGCTCCTGCGCCTGCGGCCGCCACAACCCCCTCACTCACACTTCCTGCCCGCCCACCCCACCTCCCCTCCCCTGCAGACCCTTGCTCGCCTGAACCTGGTGGGGCTGGGGCAGCCGTGTGTGATTGGCTGTGAGGCTGAGACGCGCATTCGCTGCGACTCCTGCTCTGCTGGCAGCTCCTGCGCCTGCGGCCGCCACAACCCGCTGCCCGTCGCGCTGCCCGGGTTCTGCCACCTGCCCGGAAACTACACGTGCTTCTTCCGATGCGACGGGAAGTGGGGCAACGCATGCCAGGTAGGAACGAGGGCGACGAGAGAAGGAAGTTCATGGGTTGAGAGAATGTGCATGGGTTGAGAGAGTGTGCATTGGTTGAGAGAGTGTGCATGGGTTGAGAGAGTGTGCATGGGTTGAGAGAGTGTGCATGGGTTGAGAGAGTGTGCATGGGTTGAGAGAGTGTGCATGGGTTGAGAGTGTGCATGGGATTGAGAGAGTGTGCATGGGTTGAGAGAGTGTGCATGGGTTGAGAGAGTGTGCATGGGTTGAGAGAGTGTGCATGGGTTTGAGAGAGTGCATGGGTTGAGAGAGTGTGCATGGGTTGAGAGAGTGTGCATGGGTTGAGAGAGTGTGCATGGGTGGGCCTGGCAGCAGTCTCTGCCCGGACGACTTTGACATTACCGTGCGGCAGTGCTCCACGCCGGCAGAGTTTTAGTCGACTCAAAATCCTGCTCTCCTGCCCTTTGCTCCCCCCCCACAGGGTGGGCCTGGCAGCAGCCTCTGCCCGGACGACTTTGACATCACCGGGCGGCAGTGCTCCACGCCTGCAGATACGCCTCCCCCAGATGAGGCCCCGTGGTGGGCGCGGCGCGGGTCGATGCGCGAGTTTGACTCCAAGTTTGAGCGCGCGTACCGACAGCTGCGGAAGCAGAAGATTCGAGAGGCCAAGGAGAGAGCCAGGACTGCCAGGGCTGCACGGCTGAAGAAGAGAGAGGAGAGAAGCATGCGCCAGCATGGGAATGAAGCCAGGTGAAGGCATTTTGTTGCAGGTGTTTTTGGAGAATTCAGAAAAAAAAAAGCACCTGCAACGGAGTGCCAGGGTTGTTCGGCTGGAGGAAAGAGGAGAAGCATGCGTCAGCATGCTAATGAGGCCACGTGAAGGGCTGTGGGAATGGTGACATGAAGTTAGGCAGCGGATTGTTTGGCTAGGGCAAATTTCTGGGAAGGAGATAAACTGGTGCAGAAAATGTGGGATTCTTCTGTGGCAGTACTGGTTGGAGAGGACATTGAGGGCTTAGTGCATGAGTGCGCATGGTGGAAATGCTCTGCTGCTTATTAGGAATTGTGTCAGCAAGCTAGGAACAGATAGCATTTGACATGCATCTGAAGATGATGTTAATGTTTGATGAATGAGCAAATGAAAGGCTTCTAGGAATTGCATGTACTTTTCTCTTAGACTGCTAATCCTTGGGTTATCGATGTACCTGCATTCTGAGCTGTTTGAATATCCTGTGACGTTTGAGGACGTGTCTCGGTTCGCCTCCGGTCGGCTGTGATCTGGTCGGGGCTGATCTGATCGAGTTGCCTTTGTTTGGACAGCTCGCGCCGCCCGATCAGAGACTATTCTCCTCGAACACTCCACGAGTTTACATAGCAGGCGTACAAACATTTCTTGCCACTTTCGGGCCCACTTTGGCGACTGCGAAACCCTCGGCATGGAACATGCGAATTTGAGTGTTTCCCTGTAATGTCGCAAATAGAGCCAGCCCAGAAACAATGTAACTGTTCGCCAGCGTCGCGTAGAACCCCAATCAAATGCAATCAATTGATCGTCGGTGACTGTGTGTGATTGTGTTTGATTGGGCTGTTTTCGCGGTTGATCGAGTTGGGGCGATAAGCTGATCGCGATCAAGTGATTGCCTCTGATTGCATGAAATCGCCTCCTTACCTTCCTGGAAGTTATTGATCGTGTCTGATCGAGGCAACCCGAGGCGAACCGAGACACGTCCTGAGTACTCTGCGCGGTAATGGCGGCCCGATTTGCAGCCAGTCCAGTCATGGTTGGTGGATGAATGCTGTCGGCGCGTTTGTGTGGGGGTGGTCTGGAGGGTCTGTACAACACCCACCAATCGATTTCACTTGCGGTTTCCCCCGATTCCGGAATGCGGACCGGATTTCCCCGCCCCGCTAATGCTAGGCAGGAAACACTGTAGAGACGGGGAGCTCCCATCACAACAAGGGACAACTTCATCTGCAATCTAATTAAGCCAGCGCGGTTCGCAAATGCGATCCCTAACAGTCCGCCTGGAAGAAGCTGATGAGTCGTAATCTGCCCGCGGTCAGAAAAACATAAACCCCTAATGGGTGGCATGCGATTAGGGGAGCCTCAACCCTAAACACGGGGAGCCCCAACCCTAAACACGGGCAGCCGCGTCGTTCTGCCCGAAAAGATTGCATTTGCAAACCCGCACTGGGAAAATGAGATCGCAGTTCGAATTGTCCGTCACAACAACCAAACGCTTTGCTGGCTTTTATGGTCCGCGGTATTTTCACACCCTCCAATTTCACACCCCTGTGTATTCGTTCCTGATTTTCCCGGAAATTGAGGGTTGTTTCAAACAGTTTGGCTTTAAGAGATTTACGATTTTCTCCGATTAAGAGTCAGCGGGAAAATAGGAACATGGTCGCAGCGGAAGATCCAGTCTACGCGTTGCGGTCACAAAGTCACACTTTCACAACATCGACACTTTACAATGCCACGGATAGCCTCTAGTTCCTTGGGTGTCTGATCCCCACAGCCAAAAAAAGGTACAAATGGGTTTTAGCCCAAAAGTGACGGGGTGTGAAATTGGCGCGGGCTAGGTGTCTCGTTATGACGGTAATTCTGCAGGAACGCGCCGCCGCCGTGTTGCGAGGCGCCTAAGAGCGTGTTGCGAACTTGCGATTGGTCAGGCGAGACGCCAGGAGCAAAACGACACATGCAATTCTCCCACACCAAGAACAGCCGTCGCCGTCGATTTCGCTAGTCGGGCCGTAACATTGCCTTTAGTACGGTGCAGAGTGGTCTGAGGTGTTTTTTTCAAGTTTATGCTAGTTTCTCGAAGACGAATGTCGGTTGTCGCGCCCAAACCTCTCCCACCCATTCCCCGCCCGCACCACAAACACCCTCCTATCCAACCCCAACCCCCTCCACCTCTGCGGATTACCGAATTACCAGGGCCTATACGGTATTCCTACCGCTACTAATTTTTAGTACCTTATGCTCAAACAGTGGCGTGGTGGCGAGGCGAGGCAGCTTGAAGCAACTAACGACAACGTCTTGATGTTTCAAAGTTCAGCCTCAGCCTCCGCCATTTAGCGCCGCCGGTGCTACTATTGTTGCGAGTGCTTGGACGGTAATTCGTTTTGTTCCGTCGATCGTCTCACTCCTCACCATACCACCCTGCAGAGAACCAGACCCGAACCAGACCCGAACCAGACCCGTCGAGTCGCGTCTCGTAGCCCACTGCGTGTTGCTAGTAACCGATCTAACCCCTCGCACCGAAGCCACGTGACATTACCCGAGGGCGAGCGTGAGCCGCGCAATGTACTAGCTTTCGCCAGCTCTCACCACCTCGTGTCGTGTCAGACGAGGAAACTTCGCCGAAGTAGCTTGTTTCTCAGTCGCCGTAATTCCATTAAAATCAACCAATCAGCCTCCCCCCTTTATTCCGCATCGGATTGTGAAAGATTCTGTTCCCCTGCGACTCGATTCGAATCGCCTACTAGAAGAGATGAAATCGTCCTCGTCGCGCGACACTCTCTCGTCGTACGGGTCGTCGCCACCGTCGCGCGTCTCCAGCCTCGGGTCGCTCTTGTCGCACGGATGGGCCATACTTGGTCTTAAACGAAACGATTCTTATAACGAACGATTTTCTGGCAGCGGCGCACCTGATTGGTTCAGCTCCGACTTGACTCGTTTTAGTCTCATTGCGATTAACGCGTGCCTCGTCATCCTCGTTATTAGCGAAGTCTCACCGTATTGTGCGCGTCCCTGGGGAGGGGACGAAGCGCGCGGACTCCCCCAAGCCGCGTCCGCGGAGGATCCGGGGAAACTTGCGCGGATGCGGGGATTGCGGCAGGCGCTCCCGCTCTTGGGACTTGATAGCGGCGCGCGCTTGCGGTAAGCGTGTGGAGGGGATGGTCGGGGGAAGGGGGGCTGGCGGGCTCGCGAAGTTGCGGTGTTAGTACCGCGTTGAGAGTAAATTGAGGGTAAATTGAGTCGTGTTTTGAGTCGACTCAAAACAGGGTAAAGTGAGGGTAAACCTAGGTTATCCCTGCGTCTTAATGCGTGCATTTTCCTTAATTTCCCATTGTGCCCTTTGTGCTCCCCCTCTCCTCCCTATGGCCATGCAGGCCAGGAGATTCAGGTGCTTCAGGTAGTTCAGGTGGTTTTTCAGGTGGCACAACAGAGGAGCACGTGTGCTGGACGTCATCTGGAGGTGGGTGCTTGTTGGCGGATGGCATGCTTTGGCTGTAGTGACGATGGCATGCTTTGGCTGTAGTGACAGTGGCATGCTTTGGCTGTAGTGACGATGGCATGCTTTGGCTGTAGTGACAATGGCATGCTTTGGCTGTAGTGACGATGGCATGCTTTGGCTGTAGTGACGATGGCATGCTTTGGCTGTAGTGACGATGACATGCTTTGGCTGTAGTGACGATGGCATGCTTTGGCTGTAGTGACAATGGCATGCTTTGGCTGTAGTGACAATGGCATAATAGGCATTTCTCACTGTAGTGAGCCTAAACTATCTTGATACTTAGCCAAGCTGCACGGGCTGCATGTGAAAGAGTATCATAAACACCCCCTCTCTCTATCCCCCCTTTTTCCACACCACCCGCATCCATCCCTTTCTCCCTCCCCTCCGCTCCTATCCCCCACCCACAAAGACTAACATGCTTTACCAGGAGTGGTAACTCTCTTCCCTCCCTCTCCCTTACCCCTCCACCCCTCCACCAATCACAGACTACGAGACGCCATCAGGCGTGGTGATTCACGGTCGTGACTGCTCTGCCTGCCTGCGCGGGCAGCGCTGCTCCTTCCTCGTCTCCATCAATCCGCCCACCCGCCCACTGGATGCCTTCCCTCCCTCTCCCTTATCCCTCCCTCCAAACCCCCCCTTAAGCGCAGACTACGAGACACCATCAGCGGTAATTATTCACGGTCGTGGCTGCTCTGAGTGCTTGAGGGGGCAGCGCTGCTCCTTCCTCGTCTCCATCCGCCCACCCGCGCACTGGATCGCGCCGGAGCAAACAGAGAAGAGCAGCAAGCACACGTGATGGCAGAGGGAAAGTTCTCTGTTCCTCCTGTTTCCCCCCAAACCCCTCCACAAGCAGACTACGAGGCTCCATCAGGTGTGGTGATTCACGGCCCAGGCTGCTCTGCCTGCCTGCGCGGGCAGCGCTGCTCCTTCCTCGTCTCCATCCGCGCGCCCGCGCACTGGATAGCGCCGGAGCAAGCAGACAAGGGCAGCAAGCACACGTGGTGGCAGCGGGATCTCTCTCTGCTCCTCCGCGGCCCAGCGCTCGCCCACGGGGACGTGCGGTGCCTCGACCCCCCGCACTGCTTGGAACTATCAGTTGCATACCGCGTGTGGGACATCGGGGAGTATTGGTGAGTGATGGAAAGCATGGGAGGAAATCAGCAGCAGCAGCAAGCACACGTGGTGGCAGCGGGACCTCTCTCTGCTGCTCCTCCGTGGCCCAGCGCTCGCCCACGGGGACGTGCACTGACACAAACTCTCAGCAGCTTCCTTACACCACGTGCACTCCACACACCGCAAGGCATAACTCGCCCACTTTCTTTTGAACCGAACTCAACCTCACTCCCTCCCTCTCTCTTGCTTTGCTCTCTACTGGTCTCTCCTCAGGGCAACTCTGAACGTCGGTTGTGCCAATCTCAACTTCTCAGCAGCTTCCTTGCACCATCTGCACTCCACGCAGCAAAACACCCTCACTTCCTGGCCAATAACAATCCACCCTCGCTTCCGACCTAACTCCCCGAGCCTAGCTGCCAAGCCTGACCTAGCTGGCGGCCCGAGCCTACCTGCCGAACCTCCGCACCAAGCCTCTGGTGCTCCAAACCTGGGCCCCACGCTCGGCAGCTCGCCTCTCCGAACCTCGCTGTTGGAGTCGCCACCTGCAGAGGGCGGCTTGCCCCGGGCCTTGGAAGTGGGGAGGAAGCTTCCTGAGAGCCCCTGTGCTGCTGCGTCGGTGCCAGGAAGATGGGTGAAGGAGGAGGGAGGAGAGGGTTACAGGTGAGACTCAAAATTACTAGTTATGATTTCTTCCTAAAAAGAAAATTGTTTCAGTTTATTCTGTTTTTTTTTCTGTTTTTTTCTGTTTTTTTCTGCCTTTTTCTGCTTCCTTGTCCCCTTCCCTCCCTTTCAGTCCCCCACTTTCAGATCAGAACCCCCCCTTCCATCCCTACTTTTCACTACCACCCATGTTTTTTGAGAATTCTCAAAAAACATACTTCTCACTACCACCCTCTCCCTTCTTCGCCCCTTCCCATCCCCAGATGGTCGTTCTTCCCCTGCTCGCCTAAGGAGCTCCCGCCCTCTCAGTGCATCTATTTTGAGTCGAATCAGAACTCCTTCCCACTCTCCCCCTCCTCCGTTCCTTCCCCCCCTCCCCCGTTACCCGTCTCCCCTTTTCAGTTGGTCATTCTTCCCCTGCTCGCCTAAGGAGCTCCCGCCCTCTCAGTGGATCTCAGCCCTCGATCGCCGCGGCATCCGGGAGATCTCGATCGTCGGCGATTCGCATCAACGGTTCCTGACAGCCCACCTGTTTTTCCTGCTCACGGGGGAAGACATGACTGAGATGGAGAAAGGGCGTACTGTTAACGAGAGTCGGGTGTACATCGCAAGAGATGAGATTAATAGAACTCTGAAGATCAACTTTTACTGGATTGCTGGAGTCTACGAGGACTGGGAGTATGGCTGCAGGTGAGAGACAGCCTTGGGATTCCCTAACCACAAGGCTTGGAAACTAGTCGCTGGATTGCTGGAGTCTACGAGGACTGGGAGTATGGCTGCAGGTGAGAGAGTGCATTGCTCGATTTCTTTCATTTGCACGACTGCATGACTGGTGATGGATGGATGAGTTTCCATGGACTAGTGTGGTTTATTGAAGGTTAGTGTGGATGAATGATGAGAGGATGGGATGGGATGGACAAAGCGAGAGCATGGCTGCTTGTGAGAGAAAAAACCCGTCTTTGTTCTATCGAGATTTTATCATTTTGACGCCTCTTAAAAGCTAAGCTTTGATCCTTCGGAGCTTCATACACTCTCTCCTCTTCCTGTAAGGAGAGTGAAAAGAAAGTTAGGAAAAGGTCGAGCTTTGATTCCTCCTCTCAACCACCTTGAACTCCCTCCTCTTCCCTTCCCTTCCTCCCCTCTACTCCCCCCTTTCCACCAGCCACCCACGCGCTCTCAACCGCACAGGACCGTTCCCGACCATTTCACCCACCGCTGATGTCACACTCTTCGAAGCTGGTTATTGGGCGGCCGTCTTTTGCCGAGAACCTCTTAAAGCCCTGCGCACCCACCTGCAAAAATTCCTCCGGTGGGCTGTTTCCACAGCTACTCCCGGAAAAGGCAGGGTGGTTTTCCGCACTATCCCGTCTTTTCCCCTTAAGGGGGATTGGTGTAACAGTTGGCATCCCGGGCCGAGTTCGAACCGAGCCGGCATGGCGATTAACGCTTTAATGAAGCACCTTGTAAGGGGTATGGACGGAAATGAGCAACAAGGGGAGAGAGAAGGGCAGGAAGCAGAGGCATGTAAAGCAGACCTAGACTGCTCCTTACAGCGACTACCAGAGGAGCTAGGGGAGGAGCCTGGAGGGGAAGGAGGAGGGTTACCAGCATCAGCAACAGCATCAGAGTTACCAGCATCATTGTCATCACCAGCAGCAGCAGCAGCAGCAGCACCATCAGCAAAGCGTGCTGTAGCAGCATCTCGGCCGTCGATCTTGGATCTATGGATGGTGGACGGCCCTCGTTACACGGACACAGGTCGCCCCTTCGATCACCACTACTCTGCTCTTGTGCATGCAGGCCCGGGGAAGGGGGAACCTTTGGTGGTGAAGGGGGATGTAGGGGAGGCGCATGTGAGATCCCTGATGCACTACCTGCTGCATGTGATGCGATGAGTCGAGCGAGGAATCAAGCAAACCAGCGATCACCACTGCCGCTGGCAAACCAACCAACTAACCACTTAGCTGTTCCATGCTCCGTCTGTAGTTCACTTTTGAGGCGCATCAAAAGTCGTCCATACTCTGTAGTTTTGGGAACTCCGCAGGGGGCTCCCATGACCATCACTACTCACACTCTTGTGCGTGCTGGGCCAGGGAAGGGGCAACCGCAGGTTGCGAAGGGTGATGTGGGGGAGGCGCATGTGTGGCCCTCATGCACTACCTGCTGCATGTGATTCGACAAAAGTATGTGTATTGTGAAATATTAATTATAACACATGCGGTTTCCACTGTATGCATAAAACAAGTTTGAGTCACGATAACTCAAAGCCGTTCACTACATACGTTGGGGTGGGCTGAGCTAATAAATTTCCAGCCTAGACTACACTACAGATGTTGAGTTGGACATTCAGATGACCAGTACAGACGAGCAGAGCAGCAGTATCAGAGAGGAAATGGTCATCATGACCATGATCAGCAGTAGTGGGTACCTCAGATCATGGTGGGGTGGAGCACAAACACGTCATCCAAGCGGTCGTTGCTCTCTGAGTCGTCCCCTTACACCACCATGCCAGCAGCCCCCTTAGCAAAACCAGCACCACCAGCACCAGCACCAGCACCAGCAGCACCAGAACCAGCACCGGCACCAGCGGCACCAGCAGGACACAGAATCCCTCTCAAGTAACGGTCAGCCAGAGCACAAACACGTCATCCAAGCGGTCGTTGCCCTCTTAGTTGCCCCCATACACCACCATGCCAGAAGTTTCCATTGGCAGCACCATCACGGTCACCAGCGGAACCAGTGGCACCAACGGCACCAGCAGGACATATTTTCCCTCAAGCAACAGTCAGCCTGAGCACGAACACATCATCCAAGCGGTCGTTGCTCTCTGAGTTTCCCCCTTACACCACCATGCCAGCAGCCCCCTTAGCAACACCAGCACCACCAGCACCAGAACCAGCAGCACCAGCACCAGCAGCACCAGAACCAGCACCGGCACCAGCGGCACCAGAAGGACAAAGAATCCCTCTCAAGCAATGGTCAGCCGGAGCACAAACACGTCATCCAAGTGGTCATTGCTCTCTGAGTTTACCCCATACACCACCATGCCAGCATATCCCCTATCAGCACCAGCAGCACCTCAGCAACCAACCCGCCCTCCCCCCCATGAATAACAGCGAGTCTTTCAAGCCACGGTCAGCCGGAGCACAAACACGTCATCCAAGCGGTCGTTGCTCTCCGAATTGCCTCCATACACCACCATGCCAGCAGCCAAAGGAGAAACAGGGAACCAGCCACGAGCGCCCGGGTCCCCGCCAGAAGAGACGAGCGACGCCGGTCGGAGCCACTTCCTTTCCTCGACGTCCAATAGGAAGAGATCTTTAGAGAATTTTCCCGCCCCCAAGTGACCCAGATCTGATGGGTCTACCTCTCCCCCATACACCACTATGTACTCTTTACAAGCAGACTCGTTAACAGCAGGGAGCGAGACGGTCACAGCGCCGAAAACACTCCTTGGAATGGGCTTAACCGCCGACCCTTCAACTTCATCCCCTTTAGTAGCCTCCCCGCTACCAGCCGTCTCCGCACCAGCAGCAGCAGGAAATTCTACCTCCTCCCACGTCTCCTTCCCTAGATCAAACCTATGCACGTCCCCAAGCTCATGCTCCCCGGAAAACCCAAACAGCACCCACACTGCGTCCCCTGCAACAGCCAGCCCAGGGCCCCCCCGGGGCACACAGCCACTGGAAGGGGGAGGGGAGGGCAGCTGCCGCCATGTGTTGGTGTGGCTGGGAGCGACAGGGTAGGCCCAAAGGTCGTTGAAACGACCGGTGGTGCCACAGCCGCCGAAGATGTAGATTTGGGCGCGATGGGGATCCGCTGCCATGGTGTGGTAGCTCCTGGGGGGGAACAGATGGGTGGGAGGGAGCGGGGAGTGATGCTTGTGAGGATGGGTGTAAAGGAGTGAATGGAGGTACCACAGCCGCCGAAGATGTAGATCTGCCAGCGATGAGTGTCAGCTGCCATGGTGTGGTAGCTCCTGGGGGGGGGAGGCGGTGGATGATGGGAGGGTGTGTGAGAAGGTGGGAGTGGTGCCACAGACACCGAAGATGTAGATCTGGGGATCAGCTGCCATGGTGTGGTAGCTCCTGGGGAGGAAAGGGATGGTTGTGAGGGAGTGGGGAGTGGTGTTTGAGAGTATGGGTGTGAGGGTGAAAGTGGTGCCACAGCCACTAAAGATGTAGATTTGGGCGCGCTGGGGGTTCGCTGCCATGGTGTGGAAGCTCTTAAAAAAAGGTAATGGAGTGGGAGGGGGGTAACCAAAGCAGATGTCTGCGGGGCTCCCTCCCACCCCATTACTTTCCCCCATGGTGTGGTAGCTCCTAGGGAGAGAGGGATGGTCGTGAGGGAGTGGGGAGTGGTGTTTGAGAGTATGGGTGTGAGGGTCGCAGCCACCAAAGATGTAGATTTGGCAGCGATGGGGGTCTGCTGCCATGGTGTGGTAGCTCCTGGGGGAAAGTAATGGGGTGGGTGGGAGGGAGCCCCGCAGGATTGAGGAGGTTTTGAGGCGCCTAAAAAACCACCTCCTGGGGGAAAGTAATGGGGTGGGAGGGAGCCCCGCAGGAGCTACTACACCATGGGGGAAAGAAAAATGTAATGGGGGAAAGTAATGGTAATGGGGGAAAGTACTGGTAATGGGGGAAAGTAATGGTAATGGGGGAAAGTAATGGTAATGGGGGAAAGTAATGGTAACGGGGGAAAGTAATGGTAACGGGGGAAAGTAATGGTAACAGGGGAAAGTAATGGTAACGGGGGAAAGTAATGGTAACGGGGGAAAGTAATGATAATGGGGGAAAGTAATGGTAATGGGGGAAAGTAATGGTAATGGGGGAAAGTAATGGTAATGGGGGAAAGTAATGGTAACGGGGGAAAGTAATGGTAATGGGGGAAAGTAATGGTAACGGGGGAAAGTAATGGTAACGGGGGAAAGTAATGGTAACGGGGGAAAGTAATGGTAATGGGGGAAAGTAATGGTAATGGGGGAAAGTAATGGTAATGGGGGAAAGTAATGGTAATGGGGGAAAGTAATGGTAATGGGGGAAAGTAATGGTAACGGGGGAAAGTAATGGTAACGGGGGAAAGTAATGGTAATGGGGGAAAGTAATGGTAAAGGGGGAAAGTAATGGTAACGGGGGAAAGTAATGGTAACGGGGGAAAGTAATGGTAACGGGGGAAAGTAATGGTAACGGGGGAAAGTAATGGTTACGGGGGAAAGTAATGGTTACGGGGAAAAGTAATGGTAAAGGGGGAAAGTAATGGTAACGGGGAAAAGTAATGGTAACGGGGGAAAGTAATGGTAACGGGGGAAAGTAATGGTAACGGGGGAAAGTAATGGTAGCGGGGGAAAGTATTGGTAGCGGGGGAAAGTAATGGTAACGGGGGAAAGTAATGGTAACGGGGGAAAGTAATGGTAACGGGGGAAAGTAATGGTAACGGGGGAAAGTAATGGTAACGGGGGAAAGTAATGGTAACGGGGGAAAGTAATGGTAACGGGGGAAAGTAATGGTAACGGGGGAAAGTAATGGTAACGGGGGAAAGTAATGGTAACGGGGGAAAGTAATGGTAACGGGGGAAAGTAATGGTAACGAGGGAAAGTAATGGTAACGGGGGAAAGTAATGGTAATGGGGGAAAGTAATGGTAATGGGGGAAAGTAATGGTAACGGGGAAAGTAATGGTAACGGGGGAAAGTAATGGTAATGGGGGAAAGTAATGGTAATGGGGGAAAGTAATGGTAACGGGGGAAAGTAATGGTAATGGGGGAAAGTAATGGTAACGGGGGAAAGTAATGGTAACGGGGGAAAGTAATGGTAACGGGGGAAAGTAATGGTAATGGGGGAAAGTAATGGTAATGGGGGAAAGTAATGGTAATGGGGGAAAGTAATGGTAATGGGGGAAAGTAATGGTAATGGGGGAAAGTAATGGTAATGGGGGAAAGTAATGGTAACGGGGGAAAGTAATGGTAATGGGGGAAAGTAATGGTAAAGGGGGAAAGTAATGGTAACGGGGGAAAGTAATGGTAACGGGGGAAAGTAATGGTAACGGGGGAAAGTAATGGTAACGGGGGAAAGTAATGGTTACGGGGGAAAGTAATGGTTACGGGGAAAAGTAATGGTAAAGGGGGAAAGTAATGGTAACGGGGAAAAGTAATGGTAACGGGGGAAAGTAATGGTAACGGGGGAAAGTAATGGTAACGGGGGAAAGTAATGGTAGCGGGGGAAAGTATTGGTAGCGGGGGAAAGTAATGGTAACGGGGGAAAGTAATGGTAACGGGGGAAAGTAATGGTAACGGGGGAAAGTAATGGTAACGGGGGAAAGTAATGGTAACGGGGGAAAGTAATGGTAACGGGGGAAAGTAATGGTAACGGGGGAAAGTAATGGTAACGGGGGAAAGTAATGGTAACGGGGGAAAGTAGTGGTAACGGGGGAAAGTAATGGTAACGGGGGAAAGTAATGGTAACGAGGGAAAGTAATGGTAACGGGGGAAAGTAATGGTAATGGGGGAAAGTAATGGTAATGGGGGAAAGTAATGGTAACGGGGAAAGTAATGGTAACGGGGGAAAGTAATGGTAATGGGGGAAAGTAATGGTAATGGGGGAAAGTAATGGTAGGTAATGGGGGAAAGTAATGGTAATGGGGGAAAGTAATGGTAACGGGGGAAAGTAAAGGTAATGGGGGGAAGTAATGGTAATGGGGGAAAGTAATGGTAACGGGGGAAAGTAATGGTAACGGGGGAAAGTAATGGTAACGGGGGAAAGTAATGGTAACGGGGGAAAGTAATGGTAACGGGGGAAAGTAATGGTAACGGGGGAAAGTAATGGTTACGGGGGAAAGTAATGGTAACGGGGGAAAGTAATGGTAACGGGGGAAAGTAATGGTAACGGGGGAAAGTAATGGTAACGGGGGAAAGTAATGGTAACGGGGGAAAGAAATGGTAACGGGGGAAAGTAATGGTAACGGGGGAAAGTAATGGTAACGGGGGAAAGTAATGGTAATGGGGGAAAGTAATGGTAATGGGGGAAAGTAATGGTAACGGGGGAAAGTAATGGTAATGGGGGAAAGTAATGGTAACGGGGGAAAGTAATGGTAACGGGGGAAAGTAATGGTAACGGGGGAAAGTAATGGTAATGGGGGAAAGTAATGGTAATGGGGGAAAGTAATGGTAATGGGGGAAAGTAATGGTAATGGGGGAAAGTAATGGTAATGGGGGAAAGTAATGGTAATGGGGGAAAGTAATGGTAACGGGGGAAAGTAATGGTAATGGGGGAAAGTAATGGTAAAGGGGGAAAGTAATGGTAACGGGGGAAAGTAATGGTAACGGGGGAAAGTAATGGTAACGGGGGAAAGTAATGGTAACGGGGGAAAGTAATGGTTACGGGGGAAAGTAATGGTTACGGGGAAAAGTAATGGTAAAGGGGGAAAGTAATGGTAACGGGGAAAAGTAATGGTAACGGGGGAAAGTAATGGTAACGGGGGAAAGTAATGGTAACGGGGGAAAGTAATGGTAGCGGGGGAAAGTATTGGTAGCGGGGGAAAGTAATGGTAACGGGGGAAAGTAATGGTAACGGGGGAAAGTAATGGTAACGGGGGAAAGTAATGGTAACGGGGGAAAGTAATGGTAACGGGGGAAAGTAATGGTAACGGGGGAAAGTAATGGTAACGGGGGAAAGTAATGGTAACGGGGGAAAGTAATGGTAACGGGGGAAAGTAGTGGTAACGGGGGAAAGTAATGGTAACGGGGGAAAGTAATGGTAACGAGGGAAAGTAATGGTAACGGGGGAAAGTAATGGTAATGGGGGAAAGTAATGGTAATGGGGGAAAGTAATGGTAACGGGGAAAGTAATGGTAACGGGGGAAAGTAATGGTAATGGGGGAAAGTAATGGTAATGGGGGAAAGTAATGGTAGGTAATGGGGGAAAGTAATGGTAATGGGGGAAAGTAATGGTAACGGGGGAAAGTAAAGGTAATGGGGGGAAGTAATGGTAATGGGGGAAAGTAATGGTAACGGGGGAAAGTAATGGTAACGGGGGAAAGTAATGGTAACGGGGGAAAGTAATGGTAACGGGGGAAAGTAATGGTAACGGGGGAAAGTAATGGTAACGGGGGAAAGTAATGGTTACGGGGGAAAGTAATGGTAACGGGGGAAAGTAATGGTAACGGGGGAAAGTAATGGTAACGGGGGAAAGTAATGGTAACGGGGGAAAGTAATGGTAACGGGGGAAAGAAATGGTAACGGGGGAAAGTAATGGTAACGGGGGAAAGTAATGGTAACGGGGGAAAGTAATGGTAACGGGGGAAAGTAATGGTAACGGGGGAAAGTAATGGTAGCGGGGGAAAGTATTGGAAGCGGGGGAAAGTAATGGTGATGGGGGAAAGTAATGGTAACGGGGGAAAGTAATGGTAACGGGGGAAAGTAATGGTAACGGGGGAAAGTAATGGTAATGGGGGAAAGTAATGGTAACGGGGAAAAGTAATGGTAGCGGGGGGAAGTAATGGTAACGGGGGAAAGTAATGGTAACGGGGGAAGTAATGGTAACGGGGGAAAGTAATGGTAACGGGGGAAAGTAATGGTAACGGGGGAAAGTAATGGTAACGGGGGAAAGTAATGGTAACGGGGGAAAGTAATGGTAACGGGGGAAAGTAATGGTAATGGGGGAAAGTAATGGTAACGGGGAAAAGTAATGGTAGCGGGGGGAAGTAATGGTAACGGGGGAAAGTAATGGTAACGGGGGAAGTAATGGTAACGGGGGAAAGTAATGGTAACGGGGGAAAGTAATGGTAACGGGGGAAAGTAATGGTAACGGGGGAAAGTAATGGTAACGGGGAAAAGTAATGGTAGCGGGGGGAAGTAATGGTAACGGGGGAAAGTAATGGTAACGGGGGAAAGTAATGGTAACGGGGGAAAGTAATGGTAATGGGGGAAAGTAATGGTAACGGGGAAAAGTAATGGTAGCGGGGGGAAGTAATGGTAACGGGGGAAAGTAATGGTAACGGGGGAAGTAATGGTAACGGGGGAAAGTAATGGTAACGGGGGAAAGTAATGGTAACGGGGGAAAGTAATGGTAACGGGGGAAAGTAATGGTAACGGGGGAAAGTAATGGTAACGGGGGAAAGTAATGGTATCGGGGGAAAGTAATGGTAATGGGGGAAAGTAATGGTAATGGGGGAAAGTAATGGTAATGGGGGGAAGTAATGGTAATGGGGGAAAGTAATGGTAACGGGGGAAAGTAAAGGTAATGGGGGAAAGTAATGGTAATGGGGGAAAGTAATGGTAATGGGGGAAAGTAATGGTAACGGGGGAAAGTAATGGTAACGGGGGAAAGTAATGGTAACGGGGGAAAGTAATGGTTACGGGGGGAAGTAATGGTAACGGGGGAAAGTAATGGTAACGGGGGAAAGTAATGGTAACGGGGGAAAGTAATGGTAACGGGGGAAAGTAATGGTAACGGGGGAAAGAAATGGTAACGGGGGAAAGTAATGGTAACGGGGGAAAGTAATGGTAACGGGGGAAAGTAATGGTAACGGGGGAAAGTAATGGTAACGGGGGAAAGTAATGGTAGCGGGGGAAAGTATTGGAAGCGGGGGAAAGTAATGGTGATGGGGGAAAGTAATGGTAACGGGGGAAAGTAATGGTAACGGGGGAAAGTAATGGTAACGGGGGAAAGTAATGGTAACGGGGGAAAGTAATGGTAACGGGGGAAAGTAATGGTAACGGGGGAAAGTAATGGTAACGGGGGGAAGTAATGGTAACGGGGGAAAGTAATGGTAACGGGGGAAAGTAATGGTAACGGGGGAAAGTAATGGTAACGGGGGAAAGTAATGGTAACGGGGGAAAGAAATGGTAACGGGGGAAAGTAATGGTAACGGGGGAAAGTAATGGTAACGGGGGAAAGTAATGGTAGCGGGGGGAAGTAATGGTAACGGGGGAAAGTAATGGTAACGGGGGAAGTAATGGTAACGGGGAAAGTAATGGTAACGGGGGAAAGTAATGGTAACGGGGGAAAGTAATGGTAACGGGGGAAAGTAATGGTAACGGGGGAAAGTAATGGTAACGGGGGAAAGAAATGGTAACGGGGGAAAGTAATGGTAACGGGGGAAAGTAATGGTAACGGGGGAAAGTAATGGTAACGGGGGAAAGTAATGGTAACGGGGGAAAGTAATGGTAGCGGGGGAAAGTATTGGAAGCGGGGGAAAGTAATGTTGATGGGGGAAAGTAATGGTAACGGGGGAAAGTAATGGTAACGGGGGAAAGTAATGGTAACGGGGGAAAGTAATGGTAACGGGGGAAAGTAATGGTAATGGGGGAAAGTAATGGTAACGGGGGAAAGTAATGGTAGCGGGGGGAAGTAATGGTAACGGGGGAAAGTAATGGTAACGGGGGAAGTAATGGTAACGGGGAAAGTAATGGTAACGGGGGAAAGTAATGGTAGCGGGGGAAAGTATTGGAAGCGGGGGAAAGTAATGGTGATGGGGGAAAGTAATGGTAACGGGGGAAAGTAATGGTAACGGGGGAAAGTAATGGTAACGGGGGAAAGTAATGGTAATGGGGGAAAGTAATGGTAACGGGGAAAAGTAATGGTAGCGGGGGGAAGTAATGGTAACGGGGGAAAGTAATGGTAACGGGGGAAGTAATGGTAACGGGGGAAAGTAATGGTAACGGGGGAAAGTAATGGTAACGGGGGAAAGTAATGGTAACGGGGGAAAGTAATGGTAACGGGGGAAAGTAATGGTAACGGGGGAAAGTAATGGTAATGGGGGAAAGTAATGGTAACGGGGAAAAGTAATGGTAGCGGGGGGAAGTAATGGTAACGGGGGAAAGTAATGGTAACGGGGGAAGTAATGGTAACGGGGGAAAGTAATGGTAACGGGGGAAAGTAATGGTAACGGGGGAAAGTAATGGTAACGGGGGAAAGTAATGGTAACGGGGAAAAGTAATGGTAGCGGGGGGAAGTAATGGTAACGGGGGAAAGTAATGGTAACGGGGGAAAGTAATGGTAACGGGGGAAAGTAATGGTAATGGGGGAAAGTAATGGTAACGGGGAAAAGTAATGGTAGCGGGGGGAAGTAATGGTAACGGGGGAAAGTAATGGTAACGGGGGAAGTAATGGTAACGGGGGAAAGTAATGGTAACGGGGGAAAGTAATGGTAACGGGGGAAAGTAATGGTAACGGGGGAAAGTAATGGTAACGGGGGAAAGTAATGGTATCGGGGGAAAGTAATGGTAATGGGGGAAAGTAATGGTAATGGGGGAAAGTAATGGTAATGGGGGGAAGTAATGGTAATGGGGGAAAGTAATGGTAACGGGGGAAAGTAAAGGTAATGGGGGAAAGTAATGGTAATGGGGGAAAGTAATGGTAATGGGGGAAAGTAATGGTAACGGGGGAAAGTAATGGTAACGGGGGAAAGTAATGGTAACGGGGGAAAGTAATGGTTACGGGGGGAAGTAATGGTAACGGGGGAAAGTAATGGTAACGGGGGAAAGTAATGGTAACGGGGGAAAGTAATGGTAACGGGGGAAAGTAATGGTAACGGGGGAAAGAAATGGTAACGGGGGAAAGTAATGGTAACGGGGGAAAGTAATGGTAACGGGGGAAAGTAATGGTAACGGGGGAAAGTAATGGTAACGGGGGAAAGTAATGGTAGCGGGGGAAAGTATTGGAAGCGGGGGAAAGTAATGGTGATGGGGGAAAGTAATGGTAACGGGGGAAAGTAATGGTAACGGGGGAAAGTAATGGTAACGGGGGAAAGTAATGGTAACGGGGGAAAGTAATGGTAACGGGGGAAAGTAATGGTAACGGGGGAAAGTAATGGTAACGGGGGGAAGTAATGGTAACGGGGGAAAGTAATGGTAACGGGGGAAAGTAATGGTAACGGGGGAAAGTAATGGTAACGGGGGAAAGTAATGGTAACGGGGGAAAGAAATGGTAACGGGGGAAAGTAATGGTAACGGGGGAAAGTAATGGTAACGGGGGAAAGTAATGGTAGCGGGGGGAAGTAATGGTAACGGGGGAAAGTAATGGTAACGGGGGAAGTAATGGTAACGGGGAAAGTAATGGTAACGGGGGAAAGTAATGGTAACGGGGGAAAGTAATGGTAACGGGGGAAAGTAATGGTAACGGGGGAAAGTAATGGTAACGGGGGAAAGAAATGGTAACGGGGGAAAGTAATGGTAACGGGGGAAAGTAATGGTAACGGGGGAAAGTAATGGTAACGGGGGAAAGTAATGGTAACGGGGGAAAGTAATGGTAGCGGGGGAAAGTATTGGAAGCGGGGGAAAGTAATGGTGATGGGGGAAAGTAATGGTAACGGGGGAAAGTAATGGTAACGGGGGAAAGTAATGGTAACGGGGGAAAGTAATGGTAATGGGGGAAAGTAATGGTAACGGGGGAAAGTAATGGTAGCGGGGGGAAGTAATGGTAACGGGGGAAAGTAATGGTAACGGGGGAAAGTAATGGTAATGGGGGAAAGTAATGGTAGGTAATGGGGGAAAGTAATGGTAATGGGGGAAAGTAATGGTAATGGGGGAAAGTAATGGTAGGTAATGGGGGAAAGTAATGGTAATGGGGGAAAGTAATGGTAACGGGGGAAAGTAAAGGTAATGGGGGGAAGTAATGGTAATGGGGGAAAGTAATGGTAACGGGGGAAAGTAATGGTAACGGGGAAAGTAATGGTAACGGGGGAAAGTAATGGTAACGGGGGAAAGTAATGGTAACGGGGGAAAGTAATGGTAACGGGGGAAAGTAATGGTAACGGGGGAAAGTAATGGTAACGGGGGAAAGTAATGGTATCGGGGAAAGTAATGGTAACGGGGGAAAGTAATGGTAACCCCGCAAACCCTCTCCCCCCGCAAACCCCCTCCCCCAGCAAACACCTGCCAGGGGGGGAATTCTCCCCAGTGGTCAGCAGCCGCCACTCCCCTGTGAACTAATGAGGACAATTCAAGTCATTAGGCTCCTTCTTATGATCCCTCCCCACACTACCCACTCTCTCCCCGCAACCTACCCCCCTCCCAGCACTCACCTGCCAGGGGAGGACTTCTCCCCAGTGGTCAGCAGCCTGCACTCCCCCGTGACTGTATCGAAGAAGTGAAAGTCGTTCAGCTCGTTCTTATCACCCCAACCTATCCCTCGACCACCTCTCTTCTTCCCACACCCTCCCAGCCCGCATCCCCTCCCAACACTCACCTGCCAGGAGGGGACTTGTCGCCAGTGGTCAGCAGCCGCCACTGCCCCGTGACTGTATCGAAGGAATAAAAGTCACTCAGCTCGTTCTTGTCACCGTCTCTCCCGCCAAACACGTACAGGGTGCTCCCCAGAGCCACCATCGTGATGCCGATGCGGGGGGCTGGTGGGGGGGTAGAGATCATCAGAGGCAGGGGGGTATTTAGATGGGATGAGAAGAAAGGAGTCTCAGCTCGTTCTTGTCACCGTCTCTCCCTCCAAACACGTACAGGGTCGACCCCAGAGCCACCATCATGATGCTGACGCGAGATGCTGGTTGAAGGGGTGGGGGGTGGGCGGCATGGGGTGGGTGGAGGGGAAGTAAGGAGTCTCTTAACTCGTGCAGATGGAAGCATTCAGACAGACACTATACAGACACAGGGACGCATCACCGCACAGTACGCTAACCAGAGGCAGCAGCGACGGTCCATTCCCGAGTGGTGAGGTCCATCACATGCACGTCGTTGCCGATGGGCACTTTCGGCTCAAACTCCCAAACATACCGGTATGTCATGCCAGCAGCACTAGACAGACAGACGCACATGGGATGTCACCAGAAGCGGGAGCAATGGTCCATTCCCGAGTGGTGAGGTCCATCACATGCACATCGTTGCCGATGGGCACTCGCGGCTCAAATCAAACCCCCCGAGAGATGCCAGAGCTACAGACAGACAGACAGACAGACAGACAGACACACGGATGCAGCACCGTACGTACATGGGATGTCGCCAGAAGCGGGAGCGATGGACCACTCCCGGGTGCTGAGATCCATCACATGCACGGCGTTGCCAATGGGCACTCTCGGCTCAAACTCCCCTCTGAGGACAGTTGAACGGCACATCACATGCACGGCGTTGCCCAAACAGGTGCCAGCACTATACGGACAGGAAGACGCAAGGATGCATCAGCGTACGCACATGGGATGTCGCCAGAAGCGGGAGCGATGGACCACTCCCGGGTGCTGAGATCCATCACATGCACGGCGTTGCCAATGGGCACTCTCGGCTCAAACTCCCCACCGAACACAAACATCTTGTCGCCGGCGACTGCTATAGCGTGTGAGCTGCGCGCTTTAGGCTCTCCCTCGCGCTGCGTGATCTGTGCAGTGGGGCGTTGGGGGCCGGCGGGGGGGGGAAACGGGGAGAGAGGGGAGGTCAAACTTTCCCAGAAACACAAACATCTTCTCGCCCACCACCGCTATGGCGTGCGAGCTGCGCGTATATGGTGTTGGGGGAAGAAGAGAGAGGGGAGGTCAAACCCCCCCCCCCCCCGAACACAAACATCTTGACGCAAACCACCGCTATGGCGTGCGAGCTGCGCGCCTTTGTCTCTCCCTCGCACTGTGTGATCCGTGGATTGTTGAAATGATATTGGGGGAATGAGGAGAAAGCGAAAATGGCGAGGGACGAGCGGGCGAGGGATGCGAGAGAGCTGCGAGAGAAAAAAACAAGGCGATAGCGACGCGAATTCTATGAAATCATCGCGCGAAATAACAATCTGATACCAGGAAAATGTCTGGAGGGACTGGGTACCAGTGCTTACAGCTCGAGTCTACCACTAGTTGGTGCAAAAGCGCGGAAAAAAAAGGTTGTTTTCCCCGCAGTGCAATGCAATGTCTATCAGGCTGCATAGCGTCGGCAATGCAATGTCAACTGCGATGGATGGCGGTGTCCTCACCTCCTGCCATGATGCCTCGATACGAGCCATGGCGGATCGCTGTGGCGAAGCTGAATGAAAAGCCGATCGGCTTGGCTCGAACACAGCTTTTAAAGTAAATCGTTGCAGCGTCGTTCTGGGGTAACCTTTGGAAGTATACACGAGCGATTCCCGCGTGCAAGTAAATATGCGCACACGTCACTGCATGATACTACCTTGAAGGAATCCTGTCAAGCTAATCAAATACATGATCACGTGAGTGAATGTTTGCTTGGAAGGGAGGGACAATCCCAGGAAAAAGGAATCCGTTGAGGAAAAGGGAAAATCCACGCTTGCTGTGAAAGCTTGGCTGAAATCCCGGAGGGGGAGGGTGAATTCGCGATTGTTCTCTTCTCACCCGTGTCGCGATGGTCGGTGTACAGAAGTGTACTGGTTGAGGGGGCGACTTTTCTACAGACACATGTCTCGAGCTTATTACCTCGTTATAGGGCTGATATGAGGGTATACTGGTAATCACATACATCTGAAGCATACAGAAGCCAATCCATTGCCACTAACCTCTTGCTTAGACTCAGTACATCTCTTTGGAACATAGCCAGATTCTAAACAATAGCCACAGGAAAACCTCCAGGGTTACAAGGTGGTGCACGTGCACCTGACTACAAAGAGTGAAGCAAACTAGTGACCTTAGAATCATGGTTCCTACCGGTATCTCTGAATCTCTTGGTTTTGAATAAACTGGGCTGGGTGTCCTGCACTGCAATTACCACAGAGCTAAAGGCCAATCCCTGACGCCACTCCCTCCCAGTCCAACTTTCCCCCCAGTCCTACCACTTTCTGTATGAACCCGTATCCTTTCTGCCCCTCAGCCACTGCACCCACTCTCCCATACATGATTATTTTGCTACAGCTGTAAGCCTGTGCAGTCCCTGTTGACAAGGGGTGGCAGCAGTTTGTGTGCTGCAGGCTCACTTTACAGAAGGCTTACAGTGGAATGTAGCATCATGACATTACTGTCAATTTAGGTTTACATAACAAAGCAAAATGGAAACAGAATTGTGTCTAGTAGGTCTCCACGTTCCACTGCTCGCTCTTCTTCAATTGCTTCTTGTACTCTAGCCAGTTGATGCCTGCACAGGTAGAAATAGAGTCAGCATATGGACACAGGGAAAGTGTACTCTGCCACTTAAAGCGGACAAAATCTGTCCGGAGAGGCCACTTACCATCCTTCTCTGCCAGGGAGGTCATGATATCATCAATACCCTTCTCCATGCCCTTGAGTCCGCACATGTAGGTGTAGGTGTTATCCTTCTTGAACAGGCTCCACAACTCGTTGGCGTACTCAGCCATGCGCGTCTGAATGTACATCTTCTCGCCCTTGGCGTTGGTCTGCTCGCGGCTGACAGCGAAGTCCAGGCGGAAGTTCTTGGGGAACTTCTCCTTCATCTTCTCAAACTCCTCGCGGTAGAGAAGAGAGCTGCTGGTCGGCACACCAAGGAACAGCCACGCGAGACCGTTGAACTGCACATCAACAAAGTCGTCGCGTCAGATTCACGGCCGGACCAGTTCCATCTGAACCCTACGTACGGCCTTATCAAAAGGTACAGCAATGTTTTTCAGTTCTGGAATATATTCGCGGAAACGCATGCTAGTGGTTCACATGGTATTAAACATTACCTTGTAGTCGTCGTGCTTCTCAAAGAACATGCGCCACAAGAAGCTGCGGAAGGGAGCAATGCCAGTACCAGTTCCAAGCTGCATGGCAGAGGAGCAAACACGAACAGCAAATACGGAACAAAAGAATGCCAGGGAATCAGCAAATGACGGGTAATGGATTTTTTTTCCATACACAGATAGGCTACAACAGTTACCAGAAGATTCGAGAGGATCGTAAAAAAACGAAAAAAGACGTACCATAATGATGGTGGCGTTCTGGTCGATGGGCATGAGCATCTCCTTGCCGACTGGGCCAGTCATCTTAACCTCATCCCCGGGCTTCAGGTCGCCTGCCATTGAAGTGATTCAGAGACATCAACATCTCAGTAGCCCACTTCACGCCTTGCTACAGGTCTAGACCATTTTATGTATCAGACGCTGGATAAAGACCGATGAACTGGGAAGTCGAAAATGTTACAATACGTGGAACGTACACAGGAAGTTTGAGCAGACACCCTTGACAGTCTCGCCCTTGTCGTTGACGTACACGAGGCGCTTCACGCACAGGGACACCTGAAAACAATTGTAGGGAAAAATGCACTCCCAGGGAAGTTGAGATACGATACACTTCCGTCGCTATACACAACTGCGAGGCACTTTTCATAACATGATACATAGACATAACTCCAATGACGCACCGTCTTGTAGTCACCGAAGTCACCGGGGGCACTGCTGGCAATGGAGTAAAGGCGGAGCTTCTCGGGGTTGCCCCTCTTGTCAAGACCGGGGGGAACAACGCCGATGGATTGACCTTCTCTGTAGGGGATCTTGCCTGCACAACATCCGAATCAGAGAAGACGAACATGGAAAACTGAAAAAACATTCGAGCAGCTGATTGTGCAGCTTTGGTGGGATGCGAGGCTATAAATTTTGACCAAGCATTGTGGCATTTACGGCTCATGGCTGGTGCAACTACCGGGGACGCTCTAACGCAGACGTACCCTCAGTGCTGAACACCATGTGCCAGGTCTCGCCGGGAGCGTCATCGCCGACAATCTTGGTGTTGAGAAGGCACCGGCCAGTGTAAGGGGTCTTGGGCTTGAACAGGTTAACCTGAACACCCTCCTCGTTCTTGCGGTGCTCCTTCTTCTTGGGAGCAGCAGCAACGCTGGCGCGCACGGCGGCCTTAGTGGGCTGAGACACGCGGACAGCGGCCTTGCTCTCGAGGGAGGAAACGAGGGAGCTGCCGTTGAGGAAGCTGACCTGGTTGGCCTTCTTGCTAACGGCTCCCTGAGCCGACAGCCCGACGGCGGGGGTTGCGATCGACATGGAGGTCATGGCGGCCATTGTGGTCAAAGAGGCACTTGAATGCAAGTAACCTCGAGAATGGCAACAATGGTAATGGTCAATCAGTCTCGGATTGACCTGAAAATGGGGTATTTGATGAGGCTCCTTGAAGAGTCTCAGAAGTGAACCAGTTTAGCCAGGAAAATGGGCTAGCTGAAACCTGATATGGTAGGTCCTGCTTGGTCCCTGATGATGTCGGGGTTGGTTCCAGCGAATGTGAGAGAGGGGCTCAAGATTTGGCTCTGGTTCGGATTGAATGGTCGAGCAGGCTCGGCAGGTTCAGCTCGACAGCTGGGCTGGAAACACGACCACACAGCAGGCTTGGGTTTCGGATGCGGTGTGCGGCTGGCTTGAACTGTTCGTAGGCGCTGGTTTGGGGATTGAGGGGTTTGGTTTGGTTGTTACCTGATACGCCACGGTGGCACTCTGCCCGAAGCTTTGGGATGATCGTAGCCGTACAACATATCGTTCCCAGATGGGGGTTCATCTGTGGTGGTGGATGACGCATGTTCGCAGGCTCGGTGGACTATGCTGTCCCCGCGTACACCGTAAATAATCCACAGGAGATTGAACCATATCTACGTGGCAAGGCAAGTGAGCGATCCAGCCACAACCGACCTGCAAACGTGGCAGTCGGCTCCTCAGCCACTCGCGTCCCACAAACGAGGTAACCAGATCTCTTCGGCAAAGTGGCTCGTGCGAGATGTCAAGGCTTTCTAACAGAGAGGTACTTCTGAGAGAAATCTGCAAGATCGCAGCCATACGCGACGTAAACAGGTGCTACAAACAACGGGAGCTAAGATTCGTTTAACGTAAACGTGTTTTCTCCACTGTTGTGTTCAAGTTCACAAGTTCTTGTACTGCTCTATCAATTTTGAGGCATGGAGTCTGGAAGAGGGTTCAACAGTACATCCAAGCTGCTTCAGGTGCGACAACTGCATGTGTCAACGGTTTGGGGCACAATATATCAGTAAGCACACGTGTACAACTTACGGATGCATTAATGTAAAAAAGCAAAATGAAAACAAACCCTACGTACCTGCTTTGGAGTTGCTGCTGATTTATTCATAGCCTTTTCCGAGTACTGCTGCTGGAACATTTCCTGCAGAAGCAACAGAAATAGCGGTAAACAGCAATTTATCTCCCGAGCATGAAAATTAATAACAACCACATTTGAGTGATCAAAATGCACAACAAACGGCTGTATGTTTCCACCCACGGTTGCGCAGCAGCATAGGTTGGGTATGATGAGCTAGAGCCTTCAGACGAGGTGACTTTTGAGTCGACTCAAAAGGCGACAGAGTGATGTGGATAGGTTGCACAGCAGCATAGGTTGGGTATGATGAGCTAGAGCCTTCAGACGAGGTGACTTTTGAGTCGACTCAAAAGGCGACAGAGTGATGTGGATAGGTTGCGCAGCAGCATAGGTTGGGTATGATGAGCTAGAGCCTTCAGACGAGGTGACTTTTGAGTCGACTCAAAAGGCGACAGAGTGATGTGGATAGGTTGCGCAGCAGCATCGGTATAATGAGCTAGAGCCTTCAGACGGGTGCAAGTTGGAACAGCACAGCACTGACCGTTTTGAGGAGGTTGCGAGCGATGCGGATAGTGGTGAGCACAGAAGCACCGGCTCTAAGCTGCTTCCTGGGTTGGTCAGGAGGTGGACGTATGGGCACATGGTGGAACGAGGTAGTGAGGACAGATGCACCGGCTTTGAGATGTCTCAAAAGCCGGCTTTGAGACGTCTCAAAGGACGTATGGGCACATGGAGGAACGTGGTAGTGAGGACAGATGCACCGGCTTTGGGCTAATTCCTGGAATGGGCAGGAGGTGGATGCGTGGATGTATGGAGAAATGTGGATACAGGCAGGGTTACGGGAGGTAGGGAGAGAATGCGTGGGCAGCAGGGAGGTAGGGAGAGAATGCGTGGGCAGCAGATCTCATTTAATCTCATCTCATCTCATGTCATGTCATCTCAACCCATCCCACCCCACCCCACCCCATCCCATCCCATCCCATCCCATCCCATCCCATCCCATCCCATCCCATCCCATCCCATCCCATCCCATCCCATCCCATCCCATCCCATCCCATCCCATCCCATCCCATGCCATCCCATCCCATCCCATCCCATCCCATGCCATTCCATCCCATCCCATCCCATCCCGTCTTATCAATAATACATCCCACTCACTCACCTTGTGAACCTTCCTGACACTTTCCCTGAGAAAATAGTCTCTGCAGCTTCCAGGAAGCTGCAGCCTCGGTCCCTAGCCCTCTGCTCCACGTGATCTGCAGCCTGTTGAGGGAATGGTGGGGTGCGATGTGACGGAGGTGACACAGAGTAGGGGGGCTCAGGTGACAGTAAAGAGAGAAAAGCGAGGTGAGCTATGGTGGTGGTAAGTGGAGAGGTGCGGTGTTGGGCGGTGGGAAATTGGGCGATGACATGTTGTGGGGTGGGATGTTGGGGGTTGGGGTGTGTCAGGCAGCAAAAGAGGAGGGGGATTTAGGTGAACGGGGAGCAGCGGTGGTTTGAGAAAGAGAGGTGTGGTGGGGTAGATCAAGATTCAAGACCTTCACTAGTTTCTCACAGCAGTGGTTGCTTTCCAGAACAGTCATAGCCAGGGCCTTCCCAGAGGTTTTATGTTATTTATATTCAGGCGCCTTCAAAAGAGCCACTGCCATCTGTTCTTGGGAACAAGGAATTCTCAAGAGTATTTCACCTTCTTTGCCTCGTCCTTTTCGCGGCTGAACAGCAGCTTCCAGACTCTCCGGGCGGCAGTGTTGTCCACTAGCGCAGGGAGGGAGAGGCGCAACAGAGCAAGCACGTTGCGCAGGGCCTGGGGAAAGGGAGAAGGAGGGGAGAATAGTGGAGGGGCGAAAGGAAGCACACTTGTTATCGGAGGTGAATGCCTGTCCAGGAATTCGTGCTTAGGGTATAGGGAGAGGCCCAGCAGAGACAGCACATTGCTCAGGGCCTGAGGATGTGCAGAGTGAGGGAGGGCAGAGGGAAGGGCACTTGAGCTTGCTGTCTGTTTTTGGCATACAAGTGCTTCAAACCATGGCAGTGGATCTGAATTTGAGTCGACTCAAAAGCAAACCATGGCAGTGGATCTGAAACGCACCTTCTTCCGGTAGAACGCCACGCCATGCACGTTGTAGGGGATCCTCCTCTCTCTCATCACACCCTGCCCTCTCTCTCATCACACCCTGCCCTCTCTCTCATCACACCCTGCCCTCTCTCTCATCACACCCTGCCCTCTCTCTCATCACACCCTGCCCTCTCTCTCATCACACCCTGCCCTCTCTCTCATCACACCCTGCCCTCTCTCTCATCACACCCTGCCCTCTCTCTCATCACACCCTGCCCTCTCTCTCATCACACCCTGCCCTCTCTCTCATCACACCCTGCCCTGCAACAGCCGGCCTATTCCAGGGCCTGCCTGTGCTTGTTCTATATGCCTTGCAAACGCATCTCACCTTCTTCCTGTAAAACGCCACGCCATGCACGTTAAAGGGGATCTTCCTCTCCCTCATCGCGGCCTGAAACGCCCTGCCAGTCACCTGCCGCCGGTACAGCACTGCCACATCGCTCCACGCCAGGGGGACACCTGCTGCAGTCCCTGTTGCACTGCTCCCTGTTGCACTGCTCCCTGCTGCTGCGTTATCTGCTGCTGCGTTCCCTGCTGCAGTGCTGCTGCCGCTGGCACTGGTGTTGGTAGTGACGCCGGTGGTTATGGTCGTAGCTGCAGTAGTGGTGTGCGGTTGTACGCGGTGCATTTGGTTCATGAAGGACATGATGGCATCGGCGACCAGCGCACACTGTGCTGCTTCGTTTCGCACCTCCACCACCCTGCCATGTGGAGAGAAGGGAGGAGGGAATAACACCACACAGCCATGGAACATGGTGAAATTGGTGCATTTGGTACACGAGGGAAGTGGTTGCATCGGCGACCAGCGCAGCGCTGCTTCGTTGCGCACCTCCACCACCCTGCCATGTGGAAGGGGAAGGGAGAAGGGATTGATGGCTGAACGCGGTGCATTTGGTGCATGAAAGGCATGATAGCATCAGCGACCAGGGAGCACGCTTCGTTTCGGACCTCCACCACCCTGCCATGCACAGACGGACATGGATGGGTAGCAAACGGAGGGACGAGGGATGACAAGAACTACGAGCATATGAGTCCTATGGCCACCGCTGTTCCCTTCTTGAATATCGATTTGTGAACAGTACAACCCCTTTAAAAAACATCCTTACCCAATGCAAATGCCCTTTTCAGAACACTTGACCTTACCCACACAATACCCCTCTCCCAATCCTTTCACTACTTTATTCCCACCTGATCTTCTCCCCATCGCCGTTGTCAGTGCACAGCTCCTTGGCCGCCCTTTTCTTTTAAAAAGTTTTGAGACATCTCAAAACTCGACCTTTTCTTGAGGGCCCAAAGGGCTTTCCTTTCCCACCTGATCTTCTCCCCATCGCCGTTGTCAGTGCACAGCTCTTTGGCCGCCCTCCTTCCTGGAAAGTTCTGCGAGATGACGGCGGCCGAGGCCCGCACTATGGTGCCTGTGGAGCGATAGTTGCGACACAGCCGCACCTGAGAGGGAGCGGGAGGGGGGAAAGAAGAGGGGGGAGGGAAGTTCTGTGCAATGACAGCAGCAGAGGCGCGCACTATGGTGCCCGTGGAGCGACAGTTGCGGCACAAACGCACCTGGGAGGGAGCGGGAGGGAGGCAGTGCATGGGGAGGGAGGGGGAGCAGTGTCACTCAGAGGCACGAGCACGCAGCAGAGGCCCGCACTATGGTGCCTGTGGAGCGGTAGTTGCGACACAGCCGCACCTGAGAAGGGGTGGAGGCAGTGTAAGGGGACGGGGGAAATTGGATGAGGAGGGAATGCAGTGCGTGGTGTTTGGTGCTGCTCAGATGCACATGTGATGCGCGCACTACTTGTGCACTCACCTAGCTGTGCTCTCACCTCAGTGTGGTCCGGGAACTGCTCTTGAAACATGTTAAAACGAGGCTGCATTGGCGCCGTTGAAGTGAATATAGACTGCACAGGAACGCATGTGGTTGTACCTCCCTATGATCTCACCTAGCCATGCTCTCACCTCTGTGTGGTCGGGGAACTGCTCTTGGAACATGTCGAACGAGGCTGCACTGATTATTGAGTCAACTCCGATATTCACCCCACTGCTGCTCTCACCTCTGTGTGGTCAGGGAACTGCTCTCGGAACATGTCAAACGAGGCTGCACTGATTATTGAGTCAACTCCGATATTCACCCCACTGCTGCTCTCACCTCTGTGTGGTCAGGGAACTGCTCTCGGAACATGTCAAACGAGGCTGCACTGATTATTGAGTCAACTCCGATATTCACCCCACTGCTGCTCTCACCTCTGTGTGGTCAGGGAACTGCTCTCGGAACATGTCGAACGAGGCTGCATTGGCTCCATTGAAGCTGAATATGGACTGCACAGGAGCGCAGGGTGTGGGAGACGTTTGCCAACACGGCAACGAGGCACAGAAATGCGTGCGGATGGAACATGAGCACTCAGCACACTGCGAGAAAGAGAATGAGGCTGCATTGGCTCCATTGAAGCTGAATATCGACTGCATGGGAACGCAGGGCAGGAGAGACGTTTGCCAACACGGCAACGAGGCACAGACGCGCATGTGGATAGAACATACTGTGAGGAAGAGGGCGAGGCACAGCTGTAGACCACAGGAACGTAGGGTGTGCAACACGATTTCCCAACACCTCCCACCCCGACCTGGTCATTCCCCCATTCGTTTCATCTGGTCGTCATTCCCCTCACTCCCACCTGATCATCGTCCCCCACAACAGTGACGCACCCTTGGGTGCCACAGAGAGCCATGACGAACGCAAACTGGATGTGCGAGGTGTCTTGGAACTCGTCTGGGCTGAATCACCTACAATAGTCCCTCCCCGGGAAACCGGGAAACCGGGAAACCGGGAAACCGGGAAACCGGGATACCGGGATACCGGGATACCGGGATACCAAGAAACCGGGAAACCCGGAAACCGGGAAACCGGGATACCGGGATACCGGGATACCGGGAAACCGGGAAACCGGGAAACCGGGATACCGGGATACCGGGAAACCGGGATACCGGGATACCGGGATACCGGGATACCGGGAAACCGGGAAACCGGGAAACCGGGAAACCGGGAAACCGGGAAACCGGGAAACCGGGATACCGGGAAACCGGGAAACCCGGATACCGGGATACCGGGATACCGGGATACCGGGATACCGGGAAACCGGGAAACCGGGAAACCGGGAAACCGGGAAACCGGGATACCGGGATACCGGGATACCGGGATACCGGGATACCGGGAAACCGGGAAACAGGGAAACCGGGAAACCGGGAAACCGGGAAACCGGGAAACCGGGAAATCGGGATACCCGACCGGGATACCGGGATACTGGGAAACCTGGATACCGGGATACCGGGATACCGGGATTCCGGGAAACCGGGATACCGGGATACCGGGATACCGGGATACCGGGAAACCGGGAAACCGGGAAACCGGGAAACCGGGAAACCGGGAAACCGGGATACCGGGATACCGGGATACCGGGATACCGGGATACCGGGATACCGGGATACCGGGATACCGGGATACCGGGATACCGGGATACCGGGATACCGGGATACCGGGATACCGGGAAACCGGGAAACCGGGAAACCGGGAAACCGGGAAACCGGGAAACCGGGAAATCGGGATACCCGACCGGGATACCGGGATACTGGGAAACCTGGATACCGGGATACCGGGATACCGGGATACCGGGATTCCGGGATTCCGGGAAACCGGGATACCGGGATACCGGGATACCGGGATACCGGGATACCGGGAAACCGGGAAACCGGGAAACCGGGAAACCGGGAAACCGGGAAACCGGGAAACCGGGATACCGGGATACCGGGATACCGGGATACCGGGATACCGGGATACCGGGATACCGGGATACCGGGATACCGGGATACCGGGATACCGGGATACCGGGATACCGGGAAACCGGGAAACCGGGAAACCGGGAAACCGGGAAACCGGGAAACCGGGAAACCGGGAAACCGGGATACGGGGATACCGGGATACCGGGATACCGAGAAACCGGGAAACCGGGAAACCCGGAAACCGGGAAACCGGGATACCGGGATACCGGGATACCGGGAAACCGGGAAACCGGGAAACCGGGATACCGGGATACCGGGAAACCGGGATACCGGGATACCGGGAAACCAAGAAACCGGGAAACCGGAAAACCGGGAAACCGGGAAACCGGGATACCGGGAAACCCGGAAACCGGGATACCGTGATACCGGGATACCGAGATACCGGGAAACCGGGAAACCGGGAAACCGGGAAACCGGGAAACCGGGATACCGGGATACCGGGAAATCGGGATACCCGACCGGGATACCGGGATACCGGGATACCGGGAAATCGGGATACCCGACCGGGATACCGGGATACTGGGAAACCTGGATACCGGGATACCGGGATACCGGGATACCGGGATTCCGGGAAACCGGGATACCGGGATACCGGGATACCGGGATACCGGGATACCGGGAAACCGGGAAACCGGGAAACCGGGAAACCGGGAAACCGGGAAACCGGGAAACCGGGAAACCGGGAAACCGGGATACCGGGATACCGGGATACCGGGATACCGGGATACCGGGATACCGGGATACTGGGATACCGGGAAACCGGGAAACCGGGAAACCGGGATACGGGGATACGGGGATACCGGGATACCGGGATACCGGGAAACCGGGAAACCGGGAAACCGGGAAACCGGGATACCGGGATACCGGGATACCGGGATACCGGGAAACCGGGAAACCGGGATACCGGGATACCGGGAAACAGGGATACCGGGATACCGGGAAACCGGGAAACCGGGAAACCGGAAAACCGGGAAACCGGGAAACCGGGAAACCGGGATACCGGGAAACCCGGAAACCGAGATACCGTGATACCGGGATACCGAGATACCGGGAAACTGGGAAACCGGGAAACCGGGAAACCGGGATACCGGGATACCGGGAAATCGGGATACCCGACCGGGATACCGGGATACTGCGAAACCTGGATACCGGGATACCGGGATACCGGGATACCGGGATTCCGGGAAACCGGGATACCGGGATACCGGGATACCGGGATACCGGGAAACCGGGAAACCGGGAAACCGGGAAACCGGGATACCGGGATACCGGGATACCGGGATACCGGGATACCGGGATACCGGGATACCGGGAAACCGGGAAACCGGGAAACCGGGAAACCGGGAAACCGGGAAACCGGGAAACCGGGAAACCGGGATACCGGGAAACCGGGAAACCGGGATACCGGGAAACCGGGAAACCGGGAAACCGGGAAACCGGGAAACCCGGAAACCGGGAAACCGGGAAACCGGGAAACCGGGAAACCGGGAAACCCGGAAACCGGGAAACCGGGATACCGGGATACCGGGATACCGGGATACCGGGATACCGGGAAACCGGGATACCGGGATACCGGGAAACCGGGAAACCGGGAAACCGGAAAACCGGGAAACCGGGATACCGGGAAACCCGGAAACCGGGATACCGTGATACCGGGATACCGAGATACCGGGAAACCGGGAAACCGGGAAACCGGGAAACCGGGATACCGGGATACCGGGAAATCGGGATACCCGACCGGGATACCGGGATACTGGGAAACCTGGATACCGGGATACCGGGATACCGGGATTCCGGGAAACCGGGATACCGGGATACCGGGATACCGGGAAAGCGGGAAAGCGGGAAAGCGGGATGCCGGGATGCCGGGATGCCGGGATGCCGGGATGCCGGGATGCCGGGATGCCGGGATGCCGGGATGCCGGGATGCCGGGATGCCGGGATGCCGGGATGCCGGGATGCCGGGATGCCGGGATGCCGGGATGCCGGGATGCCGGGATGCCGGGATGCCGGGATGCCGGGATGCCGGGATGCCGGGATGCCGGGATGCCGGGATGCCGGGATGCCGGGATGCCGGGATGCCGGGATGCCGGGATGCCGGGATGCCGGGATGCCGGGATGCCGGGATGCCGGGATGCCGGGATGCCGGGATGCCGGGATGCCGGGATGCCGGGATGCCGGGATGCCGGGATGCCGGGATGCCGGGATGCCGGGATGCCGGGATGCCGGGATGCCGGGATGCCGGGATGCCGGGATGCCGGGATGCCGGGATGCCGGGAAACCGGGATACCGGGATACCGGGATACCGGGATACCGGGAAACCGGGAAACCGGGAAACCGGGAAACCGGGAAACCGGGAAACCGGGAAACCGGGAAACCGGGAAATCGGGATTCCGGGATTCCGGGATACCGGGATACCGGGATACCCGGAAACCGGGATACCGTGATACCGGGATACCGAGATACCGGGAAACCGGGAAACCTGGAAACCGGGAAACCGGGAAACCGGGAAACCGGGATACCGGGATACCGGGATACCAGGATACCGGGAAACAGGGAAACCGGGAATCCGGGAAACTGGGCCGGGATACCGGGATACTGGGATACCGGGAAACCGGGAAACCGGGAAACCGGGAAACCGGGAAACAGGGAATCCGGGAAACCGGGAAACCGGGATACCGGGATACCGGGATACCGGGATACCAGGATACCGGGAAACCGGGAAACCGGGAAACAGGGAATCCGGGAAACCGGGAAACCGGGATACCGGGATACCGGGATACCGGGATACCAGGATACCGGGATACCAGGAAACCGGGAAACCGAGAAACCCGTAAACCGGGAAATCGGGATACCCGACCGGGATACCGGGATACCGGGATACCGGGATTCCGGGAAACCGGGATACCGGGATACCGGGATTCCGGGAAACCGGGATACCGGGATACCGGGATACCGGGAAACCGGGAAACCGGGAAACCGGGAAACCGGGATACCGGGAAACCGGGATACCGGGATACCGGGATACCGGGATACCGGGATA